TGGTTGGGAGGGTATAGTTAAGGGGTTTGGAAGACAGGGATAACGAAAGGAACGGGCAAACAGACATGGGATAATGGTGGGCCCCGTAAAAGTGGATGTGGGATCTGGGATCAGGGATAGGAAGGAAAGGAGGGTATTGCAACGTTGAAACGGGAATTTTTCCAATAAAAGCCATGTCGAGGCATACAACACTGAAAAAACTTGTTCCGTAGGTGGCAAAGTAGTGTTAATGCACTTAGCACTAATGAGAGCAAATAAAAAATCATAGGCGATACTAATTGTAGCCACCTGCGTAAGGAGCATCTCACCTGGTCGAGGCTTGTCACATGTGGTGCAGAAGGAGCGACACTGCCTGCAGAAAGCACTTGAAGCAGTCTGCGGGACCACACAGTTGCTATGGTCAGGAGGGCATGCAATTGCTGTCGAAGACATGTCCCTGCATGTGCGCATGGAGCGTTCTCAAAATTTTTATTCACCAATGCGCTCACGCTCAGAGTCAAACTCTCTGAGGTTGCTAAGGTATGGTAACACATTTCGTTGCGATACTCCACTGAGCCATACTTGGCCCTTTTTCGCCAGCTATAGAAAACGAACTGACATGCACCAGCCCAGAATGATAGCTGACGGGCTGAAGAAGATTGGGTTGGGCCACTCTAAGTTCAGCAATTCATACCTTGAATACATGTGGGTGTAATAACATTTGGACAATGGTACACCGGTGGAATACCTCTTCTTTGTGAAACGCTGCAAAGTTGAAACACTTTGAGATGTTAAGATGCCTTACAGGTCTGAAAGAAGAGTGAAATTTCCCACTGTTGGAGGAAGCTGGCCAGTGAGGTTGTTCCAACTGACATTACTGCAATGAGAATGAAAGACAATGGATGGGATAGTCCCAGTCAAAGCAGTGCTCATATGATTCTTGATAGTGGATTAGTGCCAAAAGTTTCATGTGTACGAAGATGAAAACACACAAGAAAGTAGGAGATGATTGGAGAAGGCAGACAAAATGCAAGATACATTGACTTATTGAAGCAGGAACCGCACATCTTATGAGGAAGCATAGAATGCTCAACGTGGAGCTTTTTCAAGCCATGACTCAAAAATGGGTTTCAGCTCTAAGTAAAACGCTCTGAGTAAAACGCTCTGAGTATTGCTATCGACACATAGCAATACTCGACTATTCCACGATGTTTTACAGGCTGAGAATACCAACAAACCATTCATTGGTAGATCGCCAGACTTTGAAAACATCCTGACATGAAGGATTGAGCTGGGCCAGTCCAAGTTCGGTCCTTGTGTACCTCCTAACTGTGGCTGCAATCAAACTTGAGTTACAGTACACCACTGAAACACCTTTGTATACCTGCGTTTCAGTGTTGATATAATAGACATTGCAGCACTTGAACATACTAAGATGCCTTACAGGTATGAAAGACGAGTGAGACTGCCTATTGTTGGAGGGAGCTGACCAGTGAGGTTGTTCTGGCTGACATCACTGCAATGGATGGAATTGACAGGTAATAGACGGAACTGACTCGATCAAAGCATTGCTAATAAGGTTTTTTATGGTGCATCCATGCAAAAGGTTTCACGTGTACAGTGCTGAAAACATGAAGGATTGAACAAAGTTCTGGTAGAAGGTAGGAGACAATTAGAGAGGGAGATGGAAAAGGCATGGATAGTGGCAGCGGGCACTTACTCCATGAGGCAATTAAAATGAGTGATTGAGTTGTGGTGGAGATTTTTGTTCACCCAATGTAAGGAAGCATAAAAAGCTTAACAATGCGGCACTTTCTAGCCAGGCAAAAGACATCTCGGACTCAACAAAGGAGGAAGTCCAAGTTCAGACCTTGGTATTTGTCGGAGTGAAGAAGGTTGGGCCGCGGAAATCCAAGTTCAGCCCTTAATCTTTTATAAACCTCCTACATAAAACCAATGCCAGCCCTTGTGTATGTCTCATTTGTGTTACACACTGCATGCATGTGAGTGCCTTACGGTGTCCCAATGCATGGATGAAATCCATGATCAAGTAAAACTGGAAAACGGAGATGAAGGACCACAGAAAGAGTGCACAAAGGCGCAAAACGCTTGTTTGGCTGCTCATGCTTTGCATTGCAACATTTCTGGAATTTAAAGCCAAGAGCAGGCCCCACTTCACCCATGAAAGCAGATCTGTGAAGGGTGAATCCAGGCCTTATTTCGACCCGTCAGAAAACAGCCTAGTATCGAGCTAGTCAAGCCCCGCACTGGGAAGAACACTCTCAATGAGTCACGCTGGTCAATATATCCTGTTGCTGCCCGACAGAAACCCATGACATTCGACTCGTGAGTCGTGTTGGACTCATGTGGCTCACAGTGTGATGGAGTTGGAGCTATTCCATTTTCACCACAGATACACTGGTTAAACCCAGCTGTTTAAACGGCTCGTAAATGGTTCGTGATTCCAATTGGGTATGATCATCTGGTGTTGGCAGCTTGGACTCGAGGAGAGTTTAAAATTTCCTTTTTTGGTCTCCTCCCTTTCCGTGGAAGAGTTAAAGCCTGTCTATTCAGGATAGGTACGGCATGGGTCAGACATGCTCCTGAGTTGAATCGAGTCAAGTCACTTCAAGTCAAAGTCAAATTGGGAGTTGTGTCGAGTCGAGCCCAGCCCAGACTTCTTTTGTAACTGCCAACTCACGCTCTCTTATGTATCAACCTATGTGAGGCCATGCTGGCTCTCTTTCTTAATTCCTTGATGAAACTCACAAGTATTGGAGGTTGCTCATGTTGCCGATGGTGGACGGAATAGACCCAGTCAGAGCATTACGGTAAAGATACCTGATGGTAAAACATGCGGAGGGTGTTATGGGTAGAAAGAATACAGCAAGAAATAGAACCTTTATTCATTAACACATAATTAGAGCTGCATCCTTAGTAGAAATGGATACGGTGAAGCAATACCAAGCGCATGCCAAGGTTGCCATGAAATGTATACCAAATACAAAATGAAGGAATCAAATAGTAGTAGAGAGACCGAGGCAGGTGTGCAATTCGCCAGATCCACACAGATCAAACCAGCAAATTGCCAGCTTTGTGCAGGATAGTGGGCGATCCCAGCCTGTCTCCATGGTACAGATCTCTGGCAGGCTTGGTGTGAAACCAACCCATCACAGGTGGCCCCAAGGCTGGCCCGAGTGTCAGTGGCCTGGATCAGCCCAGTTCAGCCCATGCTCATGCCTAGCATGTATGCTCATGCCTAGCATGTATGCTCATGCCTAGCATGTATGCTCATGCCTAGCATGTACGCTCATGCCTAGCATGTATGCTCATGCCTAGCATGCATGCCCATGCCTAGCATGTTTGCCCATGCCTAGCATGTATGCTCATGCCTAGCGTGTATGCTTATCCCTAGCGAGTGTGCTCATACTCAAAACAAGTTGGTTAGTGTCACCAGCATAGGCCCCCTCATGTAACCTGTGCAGAGCTGCTGGCTCTCTTTCTTGATCCCTTGCTGATACTCACAATAAAATAAGGTTGCTCATGTTGCCGATGGTGGACAGAATAGACCCACTCAGAGCGTTGTTGTCAAGATCTCTGATGGTACAACATGCAAAGAATGTTATAAGCGGGGGAAAAGAAAAGACTGGGTCGTTTTCCTTACGCCACTAAAATAGCAATGGCAAGGGCCGCAGCTCAGTTGGTGTGGAGCCTTGCTCATCCAGGCTGGAAGGCGGTGCATGGTCACTGGCACAGGTGGAGGCACAGGTAGCACATAGAAAGCATTACGGTCAGCTCGGGTGACTTGTAACTTGGCACCCCCGGCTTATTATGAGTTGGTCACATGTGTGTAGGTCATTCTCATGTGCACACGCCATCTAGCTCACACTCATTTGTGCATGCTCACACTCATTTGTGCATGCTCCCACTCATACCGGATCTACTGTTACTCACAAATAGAGCAGCCTGTCCAAGCCGCTTATGGAATCTGGAATGGATCCGGTTAAGCCTAAACTATATAGACTCCTGGTGGGCAGCGGAATGGAATGGGTGGGAAACACTACAGGTCTCAGGAGGAATCAAGAATGAAAGTAACAGAGAGAATTGTCAATTCAGGTGCATTGGAAAGTAAGTGAGAAGGAGAGACCCGTGCAGCTCATTTGTTGTCCACCTGCTCCTAGAATGCATGGAGATGATTGCAACCTGAGAGGACCGTCAGGCTTGGTGTTTTGCTGCACTGAACTCTTTTCAGTGTGAGCCACACAAGTGAAATCGAGGGAAACGGGGAAGGTTCGAGATGATAGGGCAAGTTAGACGGCTTTCCATAACCAACCTAGCCATCACCAAGCCCATTCCCTTCTGCTTTTAGAGCTGAAATCAAATGCAGGTATAAAAAAAGATCTCCCAAATATTACAAGAAAAAGGGGATAGTATTATTTAAATGGGACAGTATTACGTCTTTTTGTTTTTATATTTTATGGTGGTTCGGGGCGGGATTGAACCGCCAACCTTTTGATCTTCAGTCAACCTTGACAGTATTAGAGTTATTGAAAGACAAAAAAATAAACAAATATTCAAAAAAAGATATTAACAAACTAATTAGCATGTTTTTACTACAATTATGCCGCCGTGTCTGATGGCTCTTGCTGTCTCGTTCGTGCGCAGCTTTTTTGGCGAAGCCGCGAAGGCGGAGTCGAACCTCTGCGGAGGTTTTCAGCCTTGGTTGCTACGGAGGAAGGCACACCTCTGTGTAGATAAACATTGTAGTGTACTGGAGAACATTTCCTAGTGGTGTGCAGCGAAGTGATTTGGTAAGGTTTGATGTTCTAGTGATGCTGGAAGGAAGTGTGGGTGGGTCCAGGTGTCCCTTTTACGGAAAACCCAACCAAACTAAACAAGTATGCGGTAAGTGGAAATATTAGCATAGTAAGTAGGTTACATATTATATGGTCCACAACCAAAACACACACATACATACATACATTCGTACATGCAGAGCTTCAGACCAAAGGGAACAGGAGTCAACATACAGCCACAATGACAAGGACAAGATAAGGCAATAGTAGACAGTGGAAGGCAAAGTGGAGTGACTCCCAGCTGTAGGCCCTGAACTCACCCCCCTTAGCATGAAAGGATAATCAATAAGATGGAAAGTAACGCATTCATCTAGCGTGGCACGCATATGTATTTTGACCCAACATTCTTGGCACAGGCATTGCCGTTGTAGGTATTAAAATCTGCAGCTGCTTGGGTCATAGTGCCACCATAGTAGCTGTAAGCAGCGGAACAGGACAGCGATGGGGACACATTCTTGGGCCGGCCCTTGGTGCATTTGCCGAGTTCAAACGGCCAATATTCCGCTTTCAGGCACACCTGGGAGTGCAGGAAGGGCAGAGGGCAGAGGGCAGAGGGCAGAGGGCAGAGGGTGATGCGTGCAACAAGGGAAGGTAGTAGACAGATGAATACATCATACATGCATCATACTGCTTAAAAAAACATAGCATACGTGAACCATGTGAGGGGCACTGTGAGTTCCATCCTGACGCTCCTTATTCTCTCAAGCTACCACCTCCCCTTCCCACTCCTGTTCCTGCCGCACTGCCAGCACTTACCTCCACGCCAGCATTGCTGCCAACAGCCGAGGCAGAGGAAGGGACGACGTTGGAGCAGAGAAGACCGGGATTGTTGCGGTAGAGCTCAGCCCAGATGGACGGATCGTTCTGCAATCCCTGCCCCTGCAGCATTTTCTCGCACGTGTCATCTGCTGTGAGAATGGTGTATTTCACACACTCAGGCACGGTGTAGGCGTATGTGTCGTTGCGCTCCACACAGATGGAGCGGCCGGCCTTGATGGTTTGCGTGCAGTCAAGGCCGGGGTTGAGATTCATGAGATCATTCACGGTGGTGCGAAGCGATTTGGCGATGGAAAGACATGTGTCGCCCTGGAGGGAGAAGGGAGCAGAGAAGGGGATGAAACATGAAAAGAAATTAGTAGTTTAGGGTGATGCACCAGAACCGAGTAATAGGATCAATCGCTGCACCAGGAAAAAAAATATTTATGGGACATGGGAAGGGCTCCAGCACTCACGCTGAGAGTGTAGAAGTACGCAGTGCAGGGGATGGCAGGAGAATCAATAATCCGAAGCCTTTTGCCTTTTGGCAAGGCCTTTGTGCACACGACAGTCTGCAGTAAGAAGCACAGGCATGACACGGGGGGGGGCATTCAGAGGCACAGATATAAAGGGCGGCAAGAAGCGCACTCATGGAGCTGATTGTAACCTCGCATCTCTCCCAGCACCTCACTCCCTTCTGGCAAGCCAATCAATCCAATCCCTGCTCCTCACATTCCATCCTATGCTTTCCATGTGTACCATACAAGCACAGAAAGCAAACCAGTTTCCCCTACCCTTATCCTTCCCATTCCCCGTGCCCTTGAGATGCATGCCGTGATCTTTCCCGACTCTGATCAGTCTCTCCTTACAGGGTTCCGTGATGTGAACTGCGATACGGAGAGACCCACGAAAGGGTAGATGTCCGATGGCTTCTGAGTCGACTCAAAAGTACAACTTACTGGGTTAAGTGAAGTGAACTGCGTTAGAGTGAGGCCCACGAGAGTACTTCTGAGTCGACTCATAAGAGAACTTACCGGGTTTTGTGATGTGAACTGCGATAGAGTGAGGCCCACGAGAGGGTAAATGTCAGAGCACAGCCAGTTGTCTCCTGTCACAACCAAGTTGGCAGCAGTGGTGTTGGCTGGAAGATGGAGGGGGGAGTGAAGGAGGGAGAATGGAAGAGATTGAAGAAGTCAGCAGGGAAAAGCCATGGATGAGAATGAAGAAGCACGAAAAGCAGTGAGAGCATCGAAGTGAAAGGGCAGGGTGTTGACTGCGTATTATATCATGCACTGCTCGAGCAATATTGAGCTGCACTAGTGTTGTGGAATCGTGAGAGTTCAATTTAAGGAATGGCAAGGGAGAAGCGTAGCTGTGAGAAACGAGGAGGTAGAGGAAGGTGGGGGAGCAGCAGCACAGCACCTGGGTCGCAGGTGGGAAAGTTGTCAATGGTTGTGCTGTTGACGTAGTTGAGTGGGCAGATGCAGGAGTAGGAGCCCTTGCCATCGTTGATGCATGTGCCCACGGCACAGGGGTTCTTGAAGTACGACCCACACACGTCCACTGTGAGAGGAGAGAGCGGAGAGAGGGGGACAGAGAGAGGTGGAAGGAGATGGAGGGAGGCAGAGACCTTCTTTTGGTGCAGATAGGTGGGAACCAAGTGAATTGGGCGTGAATGCTTCCCTGTCATGCCTCTCAATCTCAGCTGGTCTTATGTTCAGACATGTCTTGCAAGAAGACATGTCTTGCAAGAAGACATGTCTTGCAAGAAGACATGTCTTGCACATGGAAAGCAGCTCAAAAAATGCCCGGCACGCGGAAATCATATGTTATCTGAAACATGTCTCACCATAGACACAGGTGTTTCCATAGCCATTTGCAGCCTCAATAAAGGGCTGCTTGGTCTGAGGGGCGGGAAGGGTGCAGGCGCAGGTGTTGTTGTTGGTCTTGGGGAAGGGCGTGCAGGTGAAGCGACCGCACGGGTTCATGCTGGGCTGCAGGTCTCCATCGCCCTTGTAGCTCTTCAAGCCGCACGGATCCCCTGGAACTGCATGCACCAAAGCATGACAAAAACGTGAGATAGGGAGATTAGGGAAAATAGAAGACGGAGAAAAGTATAATGGTTTAAATGGCAAGTTGCTACAGACTAGGAAGCACATGCACAAGAATCAGGCCTGACAAGGGTCAGACTAATGCCCATGTCATGTGTGTGGGTCATATGATGACAACATGGTATGCCTCACTCTTGACAATGGGGTAGATGCCAGGCAGCACGTTGATGCCACACACGCCATCCCCTCCCTGAATGTCCATGCGCATGTGGCCCCTGTCTCCCCACGCCTCGCCCCACGAGTTGCGGATGATCCAAAACGGAGGTGCAATGCGGTTCTCGCTCCCGTCATTCCTCAACACAAGGTAGCCAATAACGAGTACAACGTGATTAAGGTTGCCGGTATAGCAGGCAGGATCCTGGTACTTGAAGGTCTGAAGACACAGGGAAAATGAAAAAAAACGTAATGTACAGAATCATGCATGTTTAAGGTGTACCATCATGGCAAAAGAAAATGATCACATTAGAAACATGAGGAGCTAGCATGCACGCATGCATACACAAACACGCACGCACGCACGCACGCACGCACGCATGCACGCACGCACGCACGCACGCACGCACGCACGCACACACGCACACACACACACGCACGCACGCACACACACACACATGCACACACGCGCACACGCACACACCCACGCACGCACACGCGTGCGCGCACGCACACACACACACACATGCACATTGAGTCAACAAACCCAGCACATGTACCAGAACAAAGTAATTCAACTTGCCAGCTCAGAAAGAAATTGCGATACAACAAAGGGCGCACTCACTCCATCGTATTTGGCAAACGAAGCAGCCAACGCTTCAACGTGAACCACCACTGGCTGCCGCTGCACTGCCAGCATGAGCCCCACATACCCCTTGAAGGCAGTGCGCTCAAAACCCTGGACAGGGTACGTGATTTTCTGGAGCAAGAGGGATTTGTCAGGGTCGGGAAGAGAGGTGAAAGTGAGGGTAAATGGCAAAAGAAGGTCAGTGTGTGAGGCTCTAAGCAGCCAAGATGTTCATTCAATGCACATGTAATGTAACAGCCCACAAGAGGCCGACAGTGAGAATCGATGCAGACTATCTGCTTGGTTAGACTTCATAGGCAATATATTGTGCAGTATCATGGAGGTAACTAACTCAAGGCCAGTTCTTTTCCATTTGGTTCAAGTCGAATAGATTCTGGTTCCGACATAATTAGGATTAAGTGCTAACACTTTAGGTGACGAAACTCTAGTTGGTACCAGTTGAATATTTGAACCGGCTCGGTCCGCATTTGATTCACTGTAACCACCTTGCTGTTCGAACGGTTGAAATTCTTCCATCGCTTTCGAAAGCCTCATTGCTTTCCAGAACTTTATCCACTCAACCACAAATCAACCCAGATGAGTAAGTATTTGTACCCCACAGTGACATAAATTAATGCCTTTCATACGTTACTGCCTTCCATACCTTATTGCATTCCATACCTTATTGCCTTCCATACCTTATTGCATTCCATACCTTATTGCCTTCCATAACTTATTGCCTTCCATACCTTATTGCCTTCCATACCTTATTGCCTTCCATGGTAATGCCCCCTTGGGGCAGAGCCATCAGCTTCTCAAAGGCTTCAGTGGGAGAGCCTCCCGCAGTGCACTTGGCTGCCTGGGTGGTGAGATTCATGGCTGTGAAGAGCGAATCCACTGATATCACTGGCGCCTCTTGATTCGTTGCGATGCCGTATGCTGCTTCTATGCCTGACACCACTGCGTATGCCCAGCATGCATCTGAAGGAGCGGGCACGGAAGGAGTGTGGAACAGCAGGAGATACCTACTTATGGTGACAACAGTGGTGATGAAGAAGAACCAATGCAGGGAAGATGCTAAAAAAATGAGTCACAATTGGCACTGTAAACTCGAGACTTCATGAAAAAGAATATATGTATACATATACATATCTATGATATAACACACACACACACACACACACACACACACACACACACACACACACACGCACGCACGCACGCACGCACGCACGCACGCACGCACGCACGCACGCACGCACGCACGCACGCACGCACGCACGCACGCACGCACGCACGCACGCACGCACGCACGCACACACACACACACACACACACACACAGAGAGAGAACAGCACGCCTACCCCAAGTATAGTTGCCCCCCCTCACCCTGCCCGCTTGTCACTCACTGCAATCTTTCTGGTCCTTGACGGGCCAGCCGAGGAAGGGCACGGCGTCCCAGGAGTGGAGGTCCCTGAAGACCCACGAGTCCTTCTGCCCCGCCGACACTCGGTAGTCCGCACTCACGTAGCGCGGGAAGGGGCTAGCCCTTGTGGGCACATACGTGTTCAGTGATACGTCTAAACCGTAGGCTGTAGTGGATGGGAGGAATGGTGTCAGGAGTTGGGGAGGGTGGGGGCAGAGGGAGAGGGGCGACAGCACGGGGAGAAAAGGAGGAGGGTGAGAGGAGGTGCAGTGGCAGATGGGAAGTGTTTTGAGCTGGTCTGGGTGAAATGAAATGAGAGGGAAGCAAACTATATCCTGTACGTCTTATTCCAGAGGTTGGGCAGAAAGAAGCAGTCACAGGGCAGGTGGCGGGCCATAATCTGTGCGGGCAGGAATGTCTATCAAGAAACGTCCATCATATATGTTTTCGACTGTGGCAGTAATTTGTTCAGGTGCAGACCAGGTATCATAAGTTAAGTTGTGTGTTAACAAGAGGCGTGCAATGGCTTGCCTGGAGTGATGTTGACAGGACCCCTCGCAGGAGGCGCATCTGCCAAAAGGGAAGCAGGCAAGAATGAAAGGAAGAGAAAGCAGAAAGTAACGGTTGGAATGTAGGAGCAACGCGCTGGTAGTGTGTGAGAATGAGAACGGCCAGACAAGAATTCCGTGGGCAAGGTCCACTAGGGAGAAAGGGCCCATTGACACTTGTGTGCAGGGCAGAGCTGTGCACTTGGGTCCAAAGGGGCCACCAGCCTCCCCACTTCTGTGCAGGGCAGAGCTGGCCATACAGTATATGAAATCTCTCTGCACAATCGAAGGAGGGAGAGAGCTACGGGCCTTCCCACCCACCTGTGCGCAGGTAAGAGCTGGTAATGACTTGAATCATGAACGGCTTCACAGTGGTGGACGCCACGAAGCCAAAGTAGAACGCCCGCGGCTGCTCCGGCATCCCCTCCCCCTGCGGCGGTCCCGGCTGCAGCACAGCACACAGTGACAGTCGCCTGTCCAGCAGCGGCTTTGCTGGTTTCACTGCTGTTGTTGCCAGGAACAACTGGATGGTGCCTGGATCCCCAGGAACATAGTCCACCCATGCCGTGTATGGCTTCTTATTGGTCAGTAGGAACGGGGACTTCACAGCAGCGATTGATGTGTCCTGGCCGTTGATATTCAGCCCCACGTGTGGATCTTTCATGTCGTTGTGTGGCTTGTTCTGAAGCACGTCAAACTCGATCGCCATGCTTCGGTTGTCCATCCCACCGAACCCCACTCCAACGTTGGTCCCCACTGTGTTGGTCGCTGAAACGACAAAGGCAAAGCCGTTAGAAGCGGCCTTGGCTTTGGGCGACAGGACGAAGGTGAAGTTGACACTGAAGGCCAGCTCGAACCCACAGCCTGGGTCCTGTTGTCCATTCTGGTACACAAAGAGAGGCACTCGCGCTGCTGTGAACAGTCCTTTGGCTTCTGCTTTCAGTCCTGCCGTCAGCACCGTTGACGGTGGAAGAATCGCCTTCTCAAGTGGAGCAGCAAGGACCGATTCTGCACACAAGTGGAAAGGGGTGGGAAAGAGCAGGGAAGGAAGAAGGAAGGAATAGCTCGTTGGCAATGTTTTAGAGAGGTGTGGGAAGTCGAGAGTGAAGGTTGGGCAGCTTTTCAAGGTGGTGTGATGTGAAGTGTATAACGAATAATGGAGCCTTGTTGATTGTAGGCAGGCGGAACATCAAAGCGGAGCACATGCACTCATACACTCATCCAAGATGTTTTGAGGCGACTCAAAACACTCTCCACTCAGCCAAGACCATTATTACCTGCTGCAAGGCAATACGTCCTTCGGAACGTGTAGAACCCTGCTTCACACACGCAGGTAGGAACCAAGTTAGGCCCGTCGGGATAACACATCACCCCATGACCGCTGCAACCCCCCACGTCAGAACCCATCGAGATGCCGCAAAACGCGCGGCACGCTGACTGCGTGCGTTGCACCGGCTCAGTTTCTCCTGCAGCCAGTTTGAAGCAGTTGGAATCGAGGAGGTCTGTCGGCTTTGCAGGCAGAGTTCCCGAGAGGTAGTTGTATGAAAGCACAGCCAGCACGTTAGCTGGTTTCACAAGGCCGCCTGTGAAGTAGTTGTGAGAGAGGTCGCTGTGGGGGTGGAGCAAGGGTGGGAGGACAGGGCGGAAGGACCGTGGCAGAGCGCACGTTAGTCATTTTAGAGCACCAGGAAGCGACAGGGAGAGGCCGAGACAAGATGCCATGTGTGGTTGTTGCTAGAAGGGAGCAAGTGAAGATGCTGTGCCGGTGGGATGACAGAGATGAAGACGATATATTCATCTTTCCACTGTGTCCTAACGTTCACCAAAACGATATGTAAAAGACTCTGAGGACGTAAGGGGTGTTGTAGTTTTCGTATACAAGCATGTGAGAAAGATGCATGCAAGGTAGGCGACTGTCGAGTACACAGCACTTGTCTAACCACCTCAAAGAAGAACAGGCATACGAGTGCCTGTCGGCGCTTATATGTGAACGAGAGAGCATATCTTACAAAGTTATGAGGTTTGTGAGCGAGGTGACAGTGTCTGGTATGCGTCCGAAGAGATTGTTGTTGGCTAGAGATCTGCGAGACATCGTGGTGGATGCATGGTGAAAGGGATGGGATGGTGGATGCATGGTGAAAGGGATGGGATGGTGGAGGCATGGTGAAAGGGATGGGATGGTGGAGGCATGGTGAAAGGGATGGGATGGTGGAGGCATGGTGAAAGGGATGGGATGGTGGAGGCATGGTGAAAGGGATGGGATGGTGGAGGCATGGTGAAAGGGATGGGATGGTGGATGCATGGTGAAAGGGATGGGATGGTGGATGCATGGTGAAAGGGATGGGATGGTGGATGCATGGTGAAAGGGATGGGATGGTGGAGGCATGGTGAAAGGGATGGGATGGTGGAGGCATGGTGAAAGGGATGGGATGGTGGAGGCATGGTGAAAGAATTGGGATGGTGGAGGCATGGTGAAAGGGATGGGATGGTGGAGGCATGGTGAAAGGGATGGGATGGTGGAGGCATGGTGAAAGGGATGGGATGGTGGATGCATGGTGAAAGGGATGGGATGGTGGAGGCATGGTGAAAGGGATGGGATGGTGGAGGCATGGTGAAAGGGATGGGATGGTGGAGGCATGGTGAAAGGGATGGGATGGTGGAGGCATGGTGAAAGGGATGGGATGGTGGAGGCATGGTGAAAGGGATGGGATGGTGGAGGCATGGTGAAAGGGATGGGATGGTGGAGGCATGGTGAAAGGGATGGGATGGTGGATGCATGGTGAAAGGGATGGGATGGTGGAGGCATGGTGAAAGGGATGGGATGGTGGAGGCATGGTGAAAGGGATGGGATGGTGGAGGCATGGTGAAAGGGATGGGATGGTGGAGGCATGGTGAAAGGGATGGGATGGTGGAGGCATGGTGAAAGGGATGGGATGGTGGAGACATGGTGAAAGGGATGGTGGGGACATAGTGAAAGGAATGGCGGAGGCCTTGTATGTAAATTCCTAACAGCGCATTGTAGTACCACTGTGCCTCCCCTCCTTGTATTCCCCCTCTCTCTATTTCAAACAGAAAGGTCAGAAATAAACCCTTGCTCTGGTTCAAGCAGTGAACACTCAACTGCCTCGTGGCTTTGTTATCATGCCTAGAGGGCAGGCCCAGCTCACTGTCATGTTCCATTGTCACGTTTCACATATGCTTACCATACACACCTAACAAGCACCACTCACATATTTCTAAGATTGGCAAGGTTGCCGAGTGCAGATGGAAGCGTTTGAGTGATCTGGTTGTTTTCAAGCCACCTGCACAATTAAGGACAGCCATGGTGAGTGACAGGTATGGCTGGGTGGTGAATGGCAGGCATGGTGAATGGCAGGCATGGTGAATGGCAGGCATGGTGAATGGCAGGCATGGTGAATGGCAGGCATGGTGAATGGTAGGCATGGTGAATGGCAGGCATGGTGAATGGCAGGCATGGTGAATGGCAGGGCAGGCATGGTGAATGGCAGGCATGGTGAATGGCAGGCATGGTGAATGGCAGGCATGGTGAATGGCAGGCATGGTGAATGGCAGGCATGGTGAATGGCAGGCACAGTAAGCGAACGCCGTGTGCATCATTTGTTTCTGTGCCGTGGTTGAACGCTGATGTGATGAGAATGCATGATTATGGTTGACCGTTGATGTGAATGTGTGCTTATAGTTAAATGTTGATGTGATGTGAATGCATGCCTATGGTTGATCGTTGATGTGAATGCATGCCTATGATTGATCGGTAATGTGTGTGCATGCCCACAAACTATTGACATTTTCCAATTAGTCATTGTAGATCTTTATTACCCAGCATCATCCCATCCCATCATCTGTGCATGCATGCATGTTATGTCTGCCTCCTACTAATCATCCCCAGTGCCATCCCAAGGCGCATGGGGTTTCTGGGCGCATGAGGTTTCGTTCCCCTTACAGCTCCTTACACTCCCACACACCAGTGCCATCATTTCGCCTTACAGCTCTTGGAGATCTGTCAGTGCAGAGAGGCTTTCTGGGAAAGTCCCCGTCAGCTGGTTCTGCCTCAGATCCCTGCATCACAGAGAGAGAGAAGATAGATGGGAGAGACAGGACAGGGCTATGAGGAGAGAGAGCATTGGGGGGGTCTGGCAAAGAAGAGGGGACTTATTAGACAAGAGCATGGACCTCCAATTTCTGGTTGAAATTGTGTGACACTGTGTGAATGGCAGGGAATGATTAAGGAGTGCTTGCGTAGAAAGGTGTGACATGACAGGGAGAGGGGAGCAACCTGAGGCTGAGCGTAGGCAGACAGGACTAGAAATCTTTGGTTAAGGAACCTGAGCGGCGGCGGACGACTTTTGAGACGTCTCAGAAGGGCTAGACAGTTTTGGTTAACGAACCTGAGCAGCGGCTTTGTTCCAAGAGGGCTTACAGGTAGGTGAGCTTGGTTAAGGTACTGAGCTCTGATGGGATGGAGTCTGATAACGCATTACTGGCCAAGTTTCTATGAGCAGCAGGGGTGCAGGGGAGGGCACAGGGGATGGTATAGGGGATGGTGGTAGGGGGATACGGGAATGGGTTAGAGTGGAGTGCAGTGTGTTCATGGAAATTTCTGGTGAAAAAAGAAAAGGAGTTGTGGTTGCAGTGTGGTGAGCTGAGTACACGAGAAAGGGGTGGTATAACCAGAATGGAATGTGGAAGTGAAGCTAAGCTAAGCTAAGCTAAGCTAAGCTAAGCTAAGCTATGGTCATCAAAATCCAACAGGGCCAATTGAGCTGAAGCTTTTTAGTATCAGGTCTTACAGGGTCTTCAGGTTTGTAAGGGCGCTGAAAGTGGATGGGATTGTATCAATGAAGCGGTTGTGGTGTAAAGACCTGTGTTGACAAAGCATGCACGAGAATAGGATGGGACAAACGGAGTACATTGGTTGGTTGGTGGTATTGTGATAAGCCGATGAACAGAGACAAGAGGGGTTGTAAAATGTGCAGCTAGCTGCCATATCTGCATGCACTCATGACCGAAAGGAGGGGATTAAAAGGACGATTTTAAAGCAGAAATAAAAAAATAACGAAGAGTAGAAGACCGGTATCGAACAGCACCTCAAGGAATAAAGTTTTGTTGCCCCACATTCTACTTGCACCCGCATTCCAGTTAATCTTTCCCGCACTGTAACCTCGTTTCTCAAATCAAAGCTGTGCACACAACACATCAGTCTGCCATGCTCTCAGCTCAATCTCACAAGGTGGTCAGAAAATATTGCATTTCACTGATGCTGGCAGGAATGCTGCCTTCAAACTGGTTGGAAGAAAGATCTCTGGAACAGAATGAAAATGTGCAAACGGAACATGCAAAGGATGGCACAGAATGGAAGGTGCATGAGGGCAAACGGGAAGGCGAAGATGAGGAATTAAACAATGGAAGTAGCAAAACAATGAGTGAACGAATTCCTCGTAGTCTTTTGCCATGTTGCTATGTTCAAAATGGAAAAAAAAAAAAAAAAAAAAAAAAGGTAAGCCACAGCTACACACCAGCATGACACAAACAAGGCACAGAACCGCCATAACCTTTAATGCAACCCTAAGCCCTATCGGCCAAGATGTGAGCCTACCCAGGACTCACTCATGCTCGCAGCCCTTGTTTGGAGCATTCGAGATGAGCCGAAAGGAAAGGACATGAGCAGTGGAGAGAGGGACAAGCTCTTTATTCAAACTCACAAGATCTCCAGACGATACAGATCACTGAGGCCAGCAGGGATGCTGCCTGAGAGCAGGTTGTTTGAAAGATCCCTGTAACAGGATGAAACATGCAAGGGATAGCACAGAAACGAAAGGTGCTGATGGGAAACAAGAAAGCTTGGATGTAGGAGTAGGAAAACAAGAGTGGAATCAGAGGTGAAGGTACATTTATTGAAAGGAGAAATGAAGTCATAACGGTATGAAGTTTGGTTGAATATGGCTCGGATATTGCCTGCTGAACTGATGCTCGCCATATTCAACCTGGCCAAAATTCATTACCCTCATAAATTCCAATTTTGATTCATCATGCGTTAAGTATACGTCAATCGCTGCAAGAAAATACTCAGCTTTCAGGGTGAGTAAGAGGCGGACGAAGTCATAGGACAATCGTCATGAGTATGTTTTGAGTCGACTCGAAACATTACTCGCTCAAGTCAAAACGAGGCAAGGAGGGTACTACTCGCATATTGGTATGCCCAAGAAAAGTGTGGAGCAACCCACTCCCTCTCTATTCAAGAGAGAGGGGTTTCCGGAATGCAGACAACTATCTAGCTGTCCACATAAGCACTAACCATCCACGTGACAGCTGTTTAAAAGTAGACCATCACACATCTGTGCAGCAACCCATTTTCTTCCCCATTGGAAAAGGGAAAATCCGGACATACCAGCTTTCCAAAAACTAGACCTAGATAGGGACGGGTGGTGGTGGTCAGTAGGGTTGGGAAGAGCAGTGAAAAACGAGGGTTTGAGACGCTAGCCAGCCAAAGTGCTCTTGGGGACAAGGGAGGACAAGCAGAGAGAGTAGGAGAATGGAGCAAAGCAGAGAACTTACATCTCCCTTAGCCAATAACTATAGCCTGTAAATGCATCAAAGGAGCCATTGAGCTGATTACCCGCCAGGTACCTGGGTTGGTGAAGGCAAGGGAGGCACACAACATGATGGAACAGAAGCAACATGAATGGAGGTAGAGAGTGTGTTTTTGAGTGTGTGAGTGTGAGGAAGTGTGAGTGTGGTGAGTGAGTGTGTAAGTGTTTGAGTGTGAGTGTGTGAGTGTGTGAATGAATGAGTGAGTGAGTGTGTGTGTGTGTGAGCGAGTGAGAAAGAGATAGTTTTTTTCATGCATCTCATTGTTCAAAATTTGTGCGACAATTTGGCGAGTCGAGCCAAAACTCGATTTAGTTGACCATGTTTACATGGGCCCATCCAATGACTGTGTAGTATTCCACACAGTTGGGTCATGTCATATGCATGTGCCAATGACTGTGTATGTAGTACACCACACAGTGGTGCATCCATGCGGCCCATGAGTCTATCCATGACTGTGTGGGTGGTATACCGCACAATGGTTCCTTGTATGGTAGAGAAGGGGGTATCGTGTTGCTGATTTTTTAGTTTTTGCATATGGACAAGGGGTTATGATGAACGCAAAGAAGGGAATGCCGAAACGCAGTCGATGAATGAACTAACATGACCTGATTGGTTGATTTGTTGTTTCTCACACTCTGTGCAGTTGGAGCGCAGTGAATTCAGTGGGAATGCTGCTTGAGAGCTGGTTGTTTGAGAGGATACTGGAATGGGAATACATGCAAGGGATGGAAAGACATGCAATGGTGAGACGTGCAATGGATGGGAAGACATGCAATGGTAAAACATGCAAGGGATGGAAGGATGCAAAGGTGCACTGCACCACCAGCTGCTAAGCTACTCGAGTAAGCAAAGAACGGACTTGATAAACAGAGGGGCAGAACGGAAGATACAAGAAATATGCAGGATGCAGAAAAGACTGAGAGGTGATGAAATGCTTTTCAGGATTGGCCACAAAAGAGTGTCCATCACTTCTGTTTTACAAAAAACTTAAAAGGAAGGAGCTACCACACAGGACTACTCACCCCAAAATCCAGCAGCATAAATCATCCTCCCCACTACATGACCAGCTTCTGGATACACAGGATACAACTGACAAGGTACCTATCTGAATATTGCAACAAATGAACCTTTGTGTTGACCCAAGCCAAGAACACTGCTGTAGCCTGTACAATGTGAGACATGCCAAGGGAGGTGATGAGTGGAGTAAAAGCCGGCAAGAGAACAGCAACACTATTGCCCACCCAATGTTTCACCTTGCGGGCACAGTAAAACAGAGTTAAGGGAAATCAGCAGTGACTTCAGTCTTACAGATCGCCCAGGTTCCAGAGCGTGCTTAAGGCAGCAGGGATCGTGTCGGTGAGCTGATTGTGACTAAGATCACTGTAATTGCGAGAGAGGGATGAGGGATAGAAGATCGCAAGAGAAAGAGCAGAGAACAGAATATTGGTGAGGGGAGCAACCACACCCCATCAGTGGTACAAAAAAAAAAAAGGAGAAAAAACACCTGCAGAAACATTGACAGCAGCGTCACAGCGCAGGGGTATAATAAGTGGGAAAAAACCTTTCTCACATGCTCCGACAAAGGTGTCGCATCGCATCGCATCTACACATGTAGACGCGAGGTGTAAAAATGGTCAAACACATAGTGCAATAAACACGCATGGTCCAAAGGTGTAGAAGAATGAAAAAAAAAAAAAAAAAAAAAAAAAAAAAACAAGAGGCGACAAAGTCGTTGTAGGGTTGCGAAGCAATTGTCATAAACGGCTTATGCTATTCAACTTCTAATATTAAATATGGATTGTGTGTTACATGATTATCTATCTTACTGTGCACAACACTTAAACCAAACATGAACCTCAACATCTTTGGTTGAGGTTTGCAAAACCGCCACAAGCAAGATTCAAACCTGCCACCTCTCGCTTCCGAAAACCACTCTAACCACTGCACTACCATTGACATTCTGTGCGTAAAACAAAAATAATATGTCACGTTTAGACGCAACGACCTGGACTAGGGTTTCCATGTTCCTGTTTTTCTCTCGCATTTCTTCACGTTGATCTAGGTTCTTCACAGCTGCCAACCAGTCACCCTCCACCTACCAGAAGGTGAGAAGGTACCTAAGCTATAAACTAGAACTAAGTTTAGGTAGACTAACCTTTCGTAGTCTCTTAATCTAATCGTTCAAAGGATTGAACGGAACGTAGGTTCTAAGTCCTTTGTACAGACTTTAAATTTTCATTGTATTAGGTGCTACATTTCTTCCTGCACAATACAGCAACTGTTTCTTTTGCTCTTCTTCCAGCAAGAATGTACCCTTACTTTCTTGCGTTGGTTACATACTTACTTCCTCGTATTTGCATGATTTCGTTCACATTTAACTCTTCTTCGGTTTAGAACCTTCCTATTCCTCCGATCTGACGTAGTATCGTTGCTTAAGGCCTAATTTCTCAATTGGTCTGTAACTATCTGATTACTTTTCTTTCCCTTTGTGTTTATCCCTCCCCGCCCCCCCCCCCCCCCCCCCCCCCCCCCCCCCCCCCCCCCCCCGCCCCCCCCCCCCCCCCCCCCCCCCCCCCCATTTCCGCTCCCCCCCTCCCCCTCTTTCCTTCCCCCTTTTCTTGAAGCTCGCCCTTTCTCCATCAGTACATTCAAATGATACTGTTGGGAAATTGTGTGATTGCTACTATCGTTTCTACATACAAGGTATGTTCACTATCCAGCATCTCTTACCATCTTCCTGATGTCTCATATTCCTTCATCTATTGCTATGATTTCTCGTTCCTTGAATCATAGTCTTCGTTTGCTTCTCACTTTCCGATTCCTGCTCACTACTTTGCATAACATATATTCCCCTAGTTGTACCTTAGAGAATTCTCTTAATCAGCATATTGTTTTCCTTGTTCTTCGTGTTCTCGTATTACATTCTGATGTTCTTTCCTCGAATCCCATCATTGTTTTATGCCGTCTTCATTTGTCTTTTAACCAACTTTCTCTCTCTTTCTCTCAATCATATAATTTCTCCTATCATTCGTTGAATAAATATCTCTAGATTTTGACAAAAACACTTCTTGATAGATTGTTTATTTGCATATGAAGCAAAGTTTCATCAACGTTTTAGACCACTCATAACGTCTACAAGTATGCTCGTTCTGCTCATCGCATATTTTTTAGTGTTGACTATCATAAGTCGTTTCTTTTTTCCCCCCTCATTTCATCAAGTCAGTTGTTATGCTCTCTTTTTTTATGCTCTCCATTTTTAACTATTCCTTATATTACTCTTTCTTGTCGGTGTCTTTCACTTCGTATATTTGTCTTGTTTCATTCCTTCCCTTCCTTATAATTCGGTCTTTGCTCGATGTTATCTCCTTTCCTAACCTCTACCTAGCTTTATGATCTCCTTCTTAGCGTCTTTCTTTCTCGTTTCATTTCGCCTTTTTTTTCCCCCCTGATTTCTTTCATTTCGTGAGTCAGCATCAATTTCCTTTATAAAGCATTTTCCCATTCATCCCTTCTAATCTTTCCCCCACGCTCTTTCCTTACCCCGCCCCCCCCTCCCCCCTCCCTCTCCCTCGTCTTTTTTTATCTTCAGTGAATTTGTTGTTTCCTTCAGGCTGCCAAGACTACTTTAGAAGTGTAACCATTATGGTCGTAACTTGTAGACTCGGTACTGTAGTGATAAAATCCGTTTGCATTTGTTTTATTGTTATTCATTTTGTGCATTGAGCTTTTGTGTGTGTGATTGTGTGTGACTGAGAGAGTGCTTGTGTGTTAAGGTGTGCGAATGTGCGTGTGCATGCTTTGGGTATGTATATGCATCTATATTCATTGCAACAACAATGCATGTCTGTGAGGTTTAAAAATTGGGATCAAACTATCATTTCCGAGAAGGTTCTTTGCCCACTCAGTGAGTGTGTTCATTTGAACTGGATTTGATGGAATTGACCTTTTTTTTAAATGACACAGATTGTGTTGTTTCATGTGAGATTTGGATGATTCACCTGTTAGGCTATTGACTTCCCCCCCCATGCTAGGCAGGGGATGCGGTAGCCTAGTATGTGGGTCAATTAACTATCACGCATTTCTATCATCTTACGCATTCACAAGATTGGTATAGTACATATAAGCATATAATATGCATACAGATATAACATATACATCAATTTCATTTAATGTTTGGCTCAATATAACCATTATGCATGCATTCCAATTTCACTTATGCATGACAGATCACTACTGTATATGCATTACAGAGTAAACAGCCACAGTTTAAACTAACATCATTTTAGCACTACATTCATCCATATCAAGAGCAAGGCCAAACAAAGAAATTTAAATAAATACAGTACCATATTCAGTGGCAAACTTTTTGGGTCATCTTTAAAATATATAAACATATGTATAGAGGATGAAAAAAAAAAATCGTACATAACGATTGCAATAGGTTGCTTCGCAACCCAAAAAAAAAAAAAAAAACACACACACACACACACACACACACACACACAAAAAGAAAAACAAAAACAAAACAAAAAAACAAAAACGACAACAAAAAATTAAGGGATACGGAGAAACTATAAGAGAGTAAGGGCCTTATCTTACAGCGTCCACAAGTCCCCGAGGGCACTGAGATCAGCAGGGATGCTGCCTGTGAGCTGGTTGGATGATAAGTTACTGGGAGGGTCAGAAACATGCAAGAGAGAGAAAGAGACACTGGAGCTGATTACAGGAATAGACAGCAAAAAGAAGAAACCCAGGATTCTGTATGTAAGAAGGAAACCAAAGAAAATCTTGATCATTGTTGTCACGACGGTCTAAACTATGAGAATTATTTTGAAAGCACCACCAGGTGCTGAAAACAAGCTTTTTTGAGGCGCCTAAAAAAAAAACATGGAAAGCAGCAAGTGCAGGGGACGAGCTTTTGGACGAGCAGCAGGGGAAATTCATCTCAGGGTTGCGAAATTTCATGTGGACTGTCTTTGCCTGATAACATTCACACAAATGGATACATTCGCAGTGCTGGCGTTTCAGAAACAAAGTAGTGAGAGGATGTTAGACAAAAAAGAGATGGGCCGAAGGGGTTTCGAAGAGTAGAGGCATTGGACTAGCAGGGGACAGCAGGGAAAGTAGAGAAAGTGGTATGGCAACTCAAAGGCTTACAGTCTATTTATTGTTGTAAGCAAAGCAAACTTAGCAGGGATTGTGCCTGTGAGCTGGTTTTGACCAAACGACCTGAGATGATGAAAACTCGATGAGAACGGGGGATCGGGGGCAGTACCACATGGGATGGGCCCGAGAGATGCGCACTGACAATGTTAGCGAATGCTGCGAAGTGTAACAGATGGGATAAGCATGAGAATTGTGTGCAAATGACGAAAGGGTGATCAGGACGTAATGGGAAGATCACCACAAGAAAGGACAGTGACATCGTGGGAACAGATGAGTGAAGGGACGCTCGGGCAGCAGCCATTGACAGGTATGAGTCGAGTTCTGGTATCAGAACACTGAGGTCCTATGGATGAGAAGTGTCAGACAGATAAAGTGGAGGAAGAAAAGGGGCAGACATGGGGGATACAGATTCTTACAGATCTTTTAAACGCGCAGGTGGAAGTGGAGAGGGAATCGAACCACTGAGTTGATTTCTTCCAAGGTCTCTGTGACAGGAGCATGAGACAGGCAAGACAGCAAGAAATTAATAACGTAAATAAGAAGCATAAATAACAGAAATGTTCAAAACTTAAACTCTACCACGCATGCTTGCATAGTACATTCATACTAGCTAGTCTCGCATAATAACATTGTCGTATGCTTAAATGGGCAATCTGGTTGTTTTTAGATTAGCAAACAGAGTTGTTGCAGCTCTACTTCAGACTCCATATTTATTTCTCCTAAATCTGCAGACCACCCCCTCATCATCATAGTCGTTGTGTAGCCTATTTATATTTCTCTACCCACAGACCCTATCCTTCTGCAAGAAGTATACATGTTTATATGTATATATGTATATATGAATATGTAAACATCTTTAATGTTCATGACAAGAACGAACCGGTGTCCGTTTGACTCGAACCATAAAGTTTCGACCTACGAATGGTGTTTTTCAGATCGATTGCGGATGAATCCAGGTTGGTTCAAAGTCGACACAAACTGGTTCATTCCATTAGGTGACACACAATAGAGGAGAGCAGGAAACGTTGGGTTGGGGGGGAAATTGAATGTTTACATGAACAACATTCTTGGGTGCGTAAATACTTCGATAGGGATGGAGCCATTGAGCTGATTGTCAGCCAAATGCCTGAGAGATGTTGATAGTGGATAGAAGACAGAGATGCAAAGAAGTGGCATATGCGTAGGAAACACATGGACCAGGGTGATAAAGAATTGATCGAGTAGTGGTGTAACCAGAATGTCAAGAAATTGTGTATGTGTTTTATGGGATACAATTGCATAGAACGGCGGGGCATGAGACACGATGCAAGCCGTTATGGCATGCACAAGCAAATCATTTGATGCATACATGCTGCAGAATATTTTGTTGATTCTTATGCATCGAGCCCATGAGAAGTTAATAGGTAGGGTGAGATGAGAAGAAACTAATAACAAAAGAGGGGATAAACATTGAATTTGGAAAAGTGGAAACAGAGGAGCATTGAGCAGGAGGAAAAAAATGGAGAAGGTTCCAACCCAACCTAGCAAAGGCCTTACAGGTTGTAAAGGCTTGTAAGGTTGGTGATTGTCGCAGGTATTGAACCAGAGAGCTTGTTATAAGAGAGGACCCTGTTAAGATCATATCAAAACACCCAGTGGAAGGACGGTTACTCAGTAGGGATTCGTTGTAACCGAACAACTGGTAGGGGCAACGATTCCAGGTGATGGAAGTTGAAGTTACGTGTATTTTGAGGCGCCTCAAAATACACCTCAGTGCAACTGGGAGGTGCAACGATGCCGGGTGATGGAATCTCAAGATTACTGCCTCGGGAAGTTCAAGTCACGTGCACGGCAAATATCATACGTCGAGCCAAAAGTGGTGAGAAGGGCCGAGTTAAGTGGATCACCTTCTCAAAGGTGAGTCGTCCACGCACAGTAAAGAATGGGAAAGTATGGGGTGTGGGGTGTGATAAAGTAAGAGAGGAACAAGGAATGGGAAAGGACACGAATGAGACTAGCCGAAAGGAACAAGGCAAGGGGGAGGGGAAGGCACAAAGGGGACAAGAGATGAGGAGACACGATGGGAGTAAGGGAAGAAGGACGAACAATATACGAAACGAACAATACAGGGGGGAGCACTAAAGAACGGCTCAAAGGGAGAAGACAAGGAACCAAGACAAGGGGGAAGACGTGAAGACAACAAGGAAGAAGGGGAAGAGGGGGGAGGAGGAATCAATGGCAAGGACATACGGTCGTGAATAGATAAACAAAGTGGAGACAGGTCAATCGGCGTCACAAGGAAACAGGATTCAGTGAAGCAGAGTAGAGGAAATCGAAGACGGGGGTTCAAATGTGGGGGAAGAGAGTGGGGAGGAGGGGGGAGGGGGAGGGGGGAAGGGTGGGGGTGGGGGAATGGAGGGGGTAAGAGTGGGGAAAGAGTGGGGGAAGGGGTGATGAAACGTGGAGGCGAAGGGTGGAGGGGAGAGAGAGGAAGGAAGGATGGCTAGAATGGTGGTCGACGTGCGGACAGGGTCGAGAAAGCACAAGAAAATGGGGAGACAGAGAGGGGAAGGACAGAAGCTGGGTATATGTACAAGCATGCGTCTTACAATGTGGTCACGCTTTGAAGCCCGCCAATAGAGTCCGGGATCGGGCCGCTAAACTGATTCTCTTCCATATATCTGATATTATTAAATAATATGCATCCAGTTGTATGAGTACAAACAGGAGGGTCATCCATATGAGGGGAGAAAGAAGGAGCAAAGATGAGACAGAGAGGGAACGAGAGGAAGATGGATACAAATGGAGGTCGGGGAAGACATTACCAAGGTGAAAGACAAAGACATAAGAGAAGGAGAAGAGAGGCAGGAGAAGACCTTGTTAGTGTACTCATGTGCTCTAAAATGTATTTAATCCTAACAAGAGCAGGTAGAGGAAGTGTAACGGCTGGTAAATCAGTGGACATGAGCAGCAAGACTCCCGATCCATATCATGGGACAAGGCGGCTCAGGATGGGCCGAGGGGGGACTCCCGATCCATATCATGGGACAAGTTTCGTCTCTATGGCGCCTCAAAGGCCGAGTTGAGTCTCCGCACGGTCCATATCCTGGTGGGCAGAGTCGAGCCCACATGTGCCCTTCGATTCGAAGGTTCAGAAAAGCATACTCTGAACCAAGCTTGCCAGCGCGAGAGTGTTGGTTGGCGAGGATTCAGAATTCCGTGCGGACAGTTTCCCTTCCGCAGTGACATTTCGCCAGGATTCAGGGTTTGGAGAGTCAAATGTAGACTCTCGTTCAAGCCATGCCAGGGATACGCCCATTCTGCCCTTTTCAATCTATGCCCCGTTCCCTGCAGGTGGCGGGTCAGCCTGGGCTTATTCCCTTCCCTTGTCCATAACTATGTTTCAAGGAGTAGGTAGGAATTTTATGGTAAAGCACGCAAGAATGTGAGAATTTCACGTGGCTGTGCTGTGATTTGGCATAACAAGCAGTGAACTTACAGGCCATCCAGATATTGAAGTGCGCCGATTGTAGAGGGGATAGGCCCAGTGAAATTATTCTTGGAAATATACCTGTGATAAAGAACACACACAGAAAAGAACAATGGCAGAGAGCTAAGCCACACCTAGAAGAGAGAAGCTGAATCGTTTTGGAGCTTGCAACATTGGCAGAGGTCCAAAAGAAAGAAGATGAGAGAAGATGTGTCTAAAGAATATTATTCTCTATTGTTGCTGGCCAGGCACGAGGGACTTTGCAGCGAGTGAGCTTGCAGCTTGCCTATTAAGAACGACCATAATCACCACAGCTTCATAGTCTCCAGGCATAAAAAATCTCATGCTTCAATTTTGTACGAAAATTGCAGGGAGTATTCTTGATCTGTTGCCGTGCCGTGCATCAAACCATTAAGGATTTCGAGCGACAAGGAGTTTATCAAACTCGCCATGCATGAAGAGCGTGAATAATGAGGAGTGCACGGGACAGGAGAATTACTGAAGAAAGTGGGAGTGGACAAGCATTCACCAGGTGAGAAACTGGGGAGGAAGAAACGGGGCCGCAAGTCACCAGAGGCCTTACAGTTGCCTCAGATTTGAAAGAGAGCCTAATGCTTCAGGGAGTGGTCCAGTCAATTGATTGCCATTAAGATTCCTGTCACGACACGACCATCGCACAATATGATTTTGGTGCATGGTGCATCAATGTAGTTTGGCAAAGGACAGCAGATAAGAGAAGCTGTGTGATAAGGCTACGTTAATTGATAGAGAAAGACGTCAGAAGAACTGTGTGAATGTTGCTCGTGGGAACCACTGCATCGGAAGGGGTTTCAGTAATGGAACCACTGCATCGACACTGAACAACATCAAGCGAGATTGGGGAGTGGTAGGAGAGGACTAGCAGGAAGGAGCTGAACGCGAGGAAAGGGGGAATGGAGGAACGGATGTGGAAACAGAAACAAGAAAGCAAAAGTCTTACAGATATGTCAGATCGGTCAGAAGGGTAATCCCATCAGGGATGGAGCCTGTGAGCTTGGAGTATGGTAGTCGTCTGTGGTTATGATTCATCAACATGATTCATTCATTGAAAAGACCATTGAAATGAGGATAAAACATGGGACGACGGAAGGAGCTTGAATAGAATGGAGGGTAAGGATTGGAGAGGGAAAGAGAGGATATGACAGAACAGGGGGGTATGCATACGAACGAGCGGATGAAAGCAAAGGATCATAGGAGTGCAACGTTGTGAGGGTGGTGAGGTGAGGGGAGACAAAATGCGGAGGGATATAGATTTTGGTGCAGAAAAAAACGACAAAAAAAAAAACAGAAAAAACAATAGGAACGAAGAGATAATGGAGCACATGAGAATCTCTCTACATTGAAGCACGGCACACGAACAGGTCATAGTAGGCCTTAGTCATTTCCTTAGTTATAACTCACAAGATCTGCAGTTTTTTCAGAGCAGAGATGCTAGCAGGGATGCTTCCTGTAAAAACATTTGGATTGTATGCGACATCACTGCACGACATTTGGAGAGATAACAACATGGTGTGAAGACGGAAGGAAATAACAAGTACAGATGCATAGACGTTGATTTTAAGCAACTTAGATGGGTAAGAAACATTAAGTGGATGAGTGCAACAATTCTCCTAACTGATGTATCCAAGACAGACGATACCGCAGCCATTTCACAAAATTACGGTTAGAGCCTACCGGAAGAAGGAAAGAGAAAATGAGACAAGAGCGAGCATGGAGTTTGTCTGTAAGACGTGCATATCCCACGGAACTGTCACATTGCCTCCGAAACAAGAGGTAGTAGTAGTGTTTTGCCGGGTCCTTGGTCTCAACTGTCACCTCGCTACCCGCTGGGTCAAAGCGAGGATGTTACTGAGGCGCGGCGGATTGCCTTCAACACTAGCCCGCAGGCGTTACGTCACACTCGTCCCCTCCTGGTGTCAATGCTCTTGTTGGTTCAGAACTTCAGCGAGTCACCCCCCGTGGGGACCTCGATTTAGCTTACTGCACGTGACTTCGCTGGCGTGTCAAATCAGCGGAGGATCGTCACGGGTTCAAGTCTGGTAACCACATTCAAGTTCTCGCTGCAAGCAGGAAACGTGGACCAGGCGGGATTTGAACCCTAGGCTCTGATACCAGTACAACACACCACTACCCGCTGGGTCGAAACGAGTCACGAGGGTGTTATTGAGGCGCAGAGGATTGCCTCCAACACTACCCCACAGGCGAGACACCCCGCGTGGGCGCACAGCACCCCGCCTGGGCGCACAGACACCCCGCGTGGGCGCACGGACACCCGGCGTGGGGGCACAGCACCCCGCCTGGGGGCACAGACACCCCGCGTGGGCGCACAGACACCCGGCGTGGGCGCACAGACACCCCGCGTGGGCGCACAGCACCCTGCGTGGGCGCACAGAAGGGACTTCCCCACCCCTCCATGGGCGTATGGACGCAATCAGTGATGAGATATCCCCACACGACTCCATAAATCTCACAGTTTTGTTATCATCCCGCTGCCGTCGCAGGTGACGCCGTTAGTGGTGCCACAGTCAGGATTGGCGTCACTCCAACCAGGTATGGTCGCCCCCCACGCCGAGTCCTTCAGGACCAGAGCTGCAGGCCGTGGGGTGTGGGAAGCAGATAGTGGTGAGAAGTTATCTTTACAAGTTCTTGCGACTTTACGCGTCGTTACACGACTAGTGAGGCTTTCAAACCCCGGCCGCCAGGCGGCCTGCCTGGCCTCGGCGAGCGCCTCTCACCTTGCGTCGGGTCGAGGGTCACCGCGTCGACCATCGCAGCGAGGGGCGCGGCGACAAGGGCGGTAATCCACAATGCAAGCGCCAGCGTGCGGTCCATCATTGTAGCTCGCCGCACCATCATGGCCGGCGCGTGGAGGTCGTGACGCACGAGGCGGCGTTTGAACTTCGCTTCGACAGGAGCTGAAATAGTGCGTACGTATCCGTGACTGAAAGCTGGAGCCTCAATCCCCCAAGACTTCCTCACCCTTGCTACCTTTGGTTGGGTGTAACCCAGTAGTAAGCAGCCTTCACGAATTGTCGGGACGATTTTCGAGATCCGAAACCACAAAGACGACAGCACTGACGCGCAACGTTTTTCCTTCGATTGATTCTACGCGAGGGAATTCTCGAGTCGCTTCCTAGTTTAATCTCCGATAAAATCCCCCCTCCGAGTTTAATCTCAGAAGCTGCGCCTTCGTTTCTGATGCAGCTGCTGGTGGTCTACTACTAATGGTAGTTCCTCGGCTGAGATACTGCGAAAATATGACGCGTAGGACTACAGGTAGTGCTAACACCACCACCTGCGCGAACCCAGTTTCGCTGCTATTTCTCGTGGATGCGCAAGCAATCACTTCTACAAAAGGGGGTTTCTGGTGTGCGAGAATGGGGTCGGGTGGTTCTGAAATGTTTTTTATGTTGCCCTTGTTTTCCGACTTCTAGACTTATCACCAACCCCACTTTTCCTTCGTTTCAAGTGCAAGTGAAGTGCGGTTCCCCCATCCTCACCTTCAAACTGGTGGTCAGCATTGTATCTTGCAAGGGATTGGCCACCGAGTGACTAGCTTTTGTCGGCTCCGTCCGACGTTTGCAAGCAGATATTGTACGTCATTAGGACGTGGGCCCAATCGACTTTGATTGGCGCGATCAGAGGCTATCAATAAATTCGAGGAAGGCGGGAAGCAATTTTCAGGCAATCGGGGGCAATCAGCTGATCGCTATCAGCTGATCGCGCCAACTCGATCAATCGCATCAAACAGCCCGATCAGACCCGATCAGACTCAATCAGCCCCGATCACTTGATTGCATGTGATCGGGGACATGGGCGACGTACGCGAAATGTAACAAGCTTCGCCATAAGGTCTGGAAATTTTTCGCGATAGTTCGAAGCTTCTGGAGCAGACCTTGTGCGCAGTGCTAAGTTCGCGATATTACCACGATACTCAAATGCGCTAATCTCGCCAGAGTTGGGACGCAACTACCAGGTAATGAGTAGACGGCTGTCACGCAAGAGCGCTAAATATTCGAGGGAAATCAGCTCTGAACGGGCGGCGCGGGAAAAACGATTTGAAGCAATTCGATCCAATCCAACCCGATCCGATCAGAGCCGATCAAAGTCGATTGGGCCCACGGCCTTAGTGAAGCATGTGCATCAAGGTCCCCCGATTCGGAGAGCCGTCTCCCAACCAGACACTGTGCACAACCATCCCGCGTTTCGCCAAAGTGAACACAGTGATACAATTAAGATTTTTTTCGTTGAAAGTAACTACTTTCAGGGCGTGTACAGACCAATTTGGCTGAGCACGCTGTTGCCCAACTCTTCCATGGGAGGTTCTATATTCTGCAGGGCAAGAGCAAGCCAGTGAATGACCGTGTTAGCCAAGATTTTGCACTTCCATCTTTCATGGCCTACTCCCGCCAAAACTAAAACGACACGACATGCAGTTTTGGGCCGAGAGACAGTGGATTTCAACACCAATGACTACTGGAACAAGGTCAATGGGTCCTAGTGAAGAAAGACAGATTGCCCGTGGCACTTAAACAACTAGTTGGATAACCCCGTAATTGTACGTGCAATATGTCATATCAACTTTTTGTAGGGTTGTGGAATATACTACCTGTTTTTGTAGAGATTACTGGAAAGAAGAAGTTGTGTAAACCAGGGATGTGCCCGCCTCAATGCTACACCTGCATTCTTTCGAACGTGTTTTACATAAAATACACCTACCACCCCGCTTTATTTAGCTCCCGTACACGCCAAGGATTTATGAACCCCCTAAACGGGTTTCCCTAACTTGCCTAACCCGAAACCATATCCATTCCTCACAGAAGCTGGCAACGTGTTGCGACATTTCTCGCAACTTCTGGAATCTGGGTGGTTTGCAGCTTGCGGAAGTTGGATTCAAATCGCTGGATGGTTGGACTTCCTGCCCTAGATAACTAGTATTGTTCCATTTGCTTTCGAGTCTGGTCATCCAGTCCATCACAGAGCCGCTGGTCACACAGCCCCACTCAGAAAACATCCCACACCGCAAGGCGGGCAAAACTGACAGTACAATAGGGAACTCATGACTCCATACCAGAAATTCAATATGTAATCTCAGAATGTTCAACACCACCGTCTCCCTCCAACTGACCACATCAATGGAGAAAGATTTTTTTTTGTAACATGAACACCGACCGGATTTTTGTCGCTTTGCTTACAGTGCTGTTTCACTTACCCTTCAGCTACGGTGCCTGCCGGATCTGCCACTCGGGCTGAACACTAGTAGATTTTGAAATTGTCGTCATTAACTGTACACTCGTGTACAGTACACGAGTGGAAGTCCCCCAGCTGGAAACCGTCCTTTCAGTTGCCCATATACACATGTTTCTTGAAAGACTCCCACAAAACAAGGGCGCGTTCGTTCTTGCCGAACCTGACTGGAAGTTCGAACTTTTGTAACGGTTTGTCACGGTAGAATACAATTAAAAACGTTTTGCCACGGTGCAAAGCGGTTTGAGTTCCAACTTTTTCAGGTTCGAAAAATTGCTGCTGTCATAAGATTTAAAGCAAAAAATAAGGAAGCACTATTAACAAATCATATAATAACATGAATTGGCTCTGCGTCCCTAACACTAAGATTTAGGAGGTAGCTGAAAGTAGGGTTGGCCTCTTTTTTACCAGTGAATTAATGTAATTTGACACGTCAAGAGTAAGAACGGGTGGTAAAATAATTAGGAATTGGGAATGAGTGGTTGGGAAGTGGATGAATAGCACAGTTCGTGGTTTGCATGATAATGAGATACAAATGTATATGTGTTGGCATTAAGGACGCATGCGTTGTAGGAATAGAATACTGTACAGTGGGGTGTTGGGAGCCGGCTGTGATACAGAACAGTGTTAACAAAGTCGACAAGAACGACTGCTTGGGTTGTTACTACTAGTTAGTGGTCCTCAGTGCATGCATTCACTGCGCTCCAGGTACGTGTACTGCAGCGGTGGAAGTGTACTGTAATGGTCGGTCGGGGCTAAGTTTGGTTGGATGCAACCGTTGGCGATGTCGACAACAGTAGGTAGGTGTATTGCACTTACATTTGCATCCACATGCTTCAGGTCGGCTCGAATTTGAAGGGCACGTCTGGTTGGCAACCACACACTCCCACCACCACTTTCAAGCGTGCGTGGCCAAACGAGGAAAAGGCCCAATCAAATTCAATCAAAAAATTTGGGGAGGGGGGTGGTTGTCTAAAGGAAACTCTTCCCCCTAATTTTCCGTTAATCCACACAGAAGTTGGCTACCCCAAAGTTTGCTCAACAGAAGTACCCCCCTGACCAAAACGAACTGGTAAGATTGCGAACGGCGCACCAAGCTTAGCTCCCCAAAACAGAGTGTTCCCCGCATGATTGTCAGTTCCAACACTCGGCCTTGCCTGTGCTGTACTACTAGCACTAGATTTTAGTAGTCAGCAAGTCCAAGTGCAGTCGGTCACGGACTTAATCCTACTTCTAGCACGTACGCACATCGCTACGCCTTAAGAGTTCGTGAGGTGCCATGAAGCGCCGCGAGTTGGCGATTTCATGGTGGATTGCCTGCGCGCTTGTCGTCGCGGCCCTCACCAACGCCCGCGCAGAGCGTCTTGACACCATGCAAGGTAGGAAGCGGTCCCTCAGGTTAGTGCCTTGCTGGTAGCGGTGCGATTACCTCCAGGTGGTTAGCGGCATTGTAATAGCTTGACTACGAGACTACAACGATCAAGCGGTGATAGAACGATCGCATTTGACAGTCATCAGTCGCATAGGATGACAATTGGCCGGCGTTTTGCATTCCATATCTGTTTTTGTTTGTGCTCTCCCGCCCGCAGTCCAAGTCCTCAAGGACTTGAAAGCAGCGTGGGGGCCGACCTTCAACTCCCCAGGCTGGGGTGTTCTGAGGCCTGTCAAAACTGACCACGTTCGTTCAGATATCTGTTCCTTGTTTGTGCCGCCCTCCACCGCCCACCACAGTCCAAGTCCTTAAGGACATGAAAGCGGCGTGGGGGCTCAACGCCGCAGGCTGGGGCGACGACAATCCCGACTGCAACACAACGGACTACATCACCTGCGACGGCAACGGGTGGATCACGAAAATGTAAGATACTCTTGGGGTCGTCACTTGTAGTAGGATATCGAAAACGCGTGCCGCGCCCTCGTTTTGGGACGCGGGCGTTTTGCTCATATTGAACCTAGGTTTGAGAGTGTTCCCTGAGGGACTTGATTTCTCCAACATGGACGTTGACACGGGTGACGTGGTGGATTTACACAAAGGGCGAAAAGCAACCGCTGCGTCTAGGAGTATTGGTCCAGTCGCGTTATAATGCGTTAATTTTGTTTCACCATTAACTACCGCACGAAGTCGTGTGTATCCATTTTCTGTAACGCCTGTGGGCTCTGTTAAGGGCATTCCGCTGCCCCACCTTCGTTTTGAACCAGTGGGTGAGTAACCTGTCGTTATATTGCTCCGAACCTAGGGCTCGAATCCTGGCTGGTCCAAATTTTTCGCGTCTGGCGAGAACTAGAATCTGGTTACTAGACTTGAATCCAGCAAACGATCCTCCGCTGGCCTGGTCCACCAGCGAAGTCGTTGCTGCCTTCTCAGCGAAACGAGGACCCTGCGGGGGCCGGCTTCCTGAAGTTCGCCAACAAAGAAGTTGGCACCAGGGGGAGTGTAACGCCTGTGGGCTGTGTTAAGGGCATTCCGCTGCGCCAAATAACACCCTCGTTTCAACCCAGCGTCATATTGGTCTCAGAACCTAGGGTTCAAATCCTGGCTGGTCCACCTTTCCTGCCTGTGGCGAGAACTCAAACGTGGTTACCAGACGTGAACCCAGCATACGATCCTCTGCTGGCCTGGCCTGCCAGCGAAGTCGTTGCTGCCTTCTCAGCGAAAACGAGGACCCTGCAGGGGCCGGCTTCCAGAAGTTCCCCAACAAGGTCGTTGGCACCAGGGAGGGTGTAACGCCTGTAGGCTGTGGGCTGTGTTAAGGGCATTCCGCTGGGCCAAAAAAACACCCTCGTTGCAACCCAGTGGGTATCAAGGCGTTATATTTTTTCACGCTGTTTCTTTCTGCCGTCTTCATGTTTCGCAGGATCCTGAAATTAAAGAACCTCGCGGGCACCATTCCTGCTACCTTCAGTTGGCTTTTTAAACTGGAAGTACTGTGAGTGACGATCAGATCGAGTGTTATCGTTGTATGTTATGACATGGTGTGGCAAACTAGAGAGGGGTATACTTTGTGCGTCCACCAGGTAAAACACACTCGCTCTTTTTTTTCTTCTTCTTCTTTTCCTTTCTTGCCCGAATCTTACCTTATCCTGTAGGATCCTTTAAGTAGTATCCCATATTGGATGCATCAGGTAAGAGAATGTTGCATAAGGTGACAAACCTGTTGCTTCCACTCACACATTTGAATTGAAGATAATCCTCAGACACCGACTCAAAATCATGTCTGTGCAGGTACTTGAGTTTCTCAGTGACCTCTCATACAACCGGCTCTCGCAATGTTTCTCAGTGACCTCCCATACAACCGGCTCTCCCATTGTTTCTCAGTGACCTCTCATACAACCGGCTCTCCCAATGTTTCTCAGTGACCTCTCATACAACCGGCTCTCCCAATGTTTCTCAGTGACCTCTCATACAACCGGCTCACGGGCAGCCTCCCTAATACTTTCACTTCTCTCCTTAAACTGCAATCCCTGTAAGCTGCCTTGTTATGTTACGTGCTGAGGATGCCGTGTGGAACCTCAGTGAGGTTCATGTGTTGATTGGGCGCCGTCAATCAATCAAAAATAAGCATAGTAAGGTATAGGCCACGGTTCTTGTCATCTCATTCTCTTCTTCCTTTTAATTTCTCCCTGCTTCCTGGCCAGGCCTGTAATTAGGCCTGTGCGCTCTTGTGCTGTCCTTCTTCTTCTGCCTGTCCTTTCCCCTTAAACTGGGTTACACTCGTTGCATAATGGGTTTGTCGAGTGCGTCACTCGTTGATAAATAATATGAGGCATGCTGTATAAATTGTGTTACAACAGGAACAGGTTCTCAAAGTTGTGTCGTGACTTCTCTACCTGCTCCCCATTCCGTTTTGCTTCCCCTCCCTCTCTTCTATCCTCTTTCATCCTCTCCTCCTCCATTTCATCTCCTGTTGCTTGCACTTTCTTTGTGCACCTCCTCTCTGATTAACTCCTCTAGTTTCTTCTCCCTCCCTCCCACCTCTTCGTTTAGTTATTCCTACTCTAACATTGTTCTTTCTCCATTTCTGTACCTGCCACGCCCTTTCTCGTGTCCGAACACACATATCCAACCAATACATGAACCAATCGCATTAATGTCAGATCTCTACATGTCAACCAGTTCACAGGCACCTTACCTCATACCATTGGATTTCTTTCAGACTTAACACTCCTGTAAGCCGTTCTGCTTTTGCGTGCACTTCCACATCCGTCCCTCACCCTCCTCTTCTCCTCACGTTCAATTCCTGCTGTTCCACTCTTGCCTTGCCACTCTCCATTCTCCGTCAATCTACATTCACATAGCCAGGTTGCTCTTGGTTGTAATATTACCCCTTCCCTTATGAGCACTATCCGTACCTTTCCACACCAACTGCCTTCATGCATTCACGCTTCATGCTGTCCTCTACCATTACAGAAGAGTTGATCTCAATCAGTTAACTGGATCGATCCCTGCTCAATATGGCCTACTAAAAAAGCTGATAACTCTGTAAGGCCTCGGCTGTGGGTTCTGTAAGGCTCTGCTCTTTGCTCGGGCTCGGCTTCCTTGGTCCCCATTTTCTCTCCTCCTCAATGCGTGCCACTCCTGCTCGCTCCAGTGGTTATCCTCTCTTCTATTTTCCTTGTACCCCATTAATACTTCACGCTGTTTAAAGTTCACGGTACTTAATGCACACAGCTTAGGTAGACTCCATTCATTATGGTAAAGAGTGGTGTACGTACAGGATATTCAATCACACAAGTCTGGTGACCATGGAACCTGGTACAATTTAGTTTCTTCTGGTAGGCATGCTTACCTTCTCTTAAGCTATCTGAAGAAGCAACAACAGTGATTAAGCTATCTCAGGCATCTCTTCTTTCAGATCATCTCTTATGAACCTCCGACAGATCTGAAACGCCAGATCTGCCACCTGTAGAAATCTTCAGCCTCTTTATGTGTGGTTTATGTCCCTCAGCCGTAGTCTATTGAAATTCTTGTTTCGTGCTGTACATCATTGGAATCTGCACTACAACCAGTTCACTGGATCTTTTGAGTCGACTCAAAAGTCAACCCGTTGTCTATTGAAATTCTTGTTTCGTGCTGTGCATCATAGGAATCTGCACTACAACAAGTTCACTGGATCTCTCCCTTTTGAGCTTGGTGCTCTCACAAACCTAAAATCCATGTAAGTCCCTTGTTTGTTATGCCCATTTGTACCGCTCTTTTGTGCGCTTGCATTATATCTGTGTCCGAAGCCCTTCCCCCCCTGCTAGTATTGACTACATATATCATCATGGATTTCCTCCCTTGCAGTCCAAACATAACCACTGTGACTTCTATGGATTTCCTCTCTTCCTCAGACTCTCGTCTCTCTCTTTTCTGTGCTTGATAACAACTTTGTACGGCATTTCTTCCTTTCCATTTGTTTCCCTCTCACCTTATCTCATACCATTGGATGCATCAATGAATCATTAATTCTTTACAGGACTCTGTTTACCAATAAGCTCACTGGACCAATTCCCAACTCTTATAGCTCCCTTACTGCCCTGATTAACCTGTAAGACGAAGGCTTCGTTTTTCCCTCCTACATATGGTCCCTCTCCTAACTCCTTCCCCGCACTGGTCTTATGCAGTCACTTCAGGCTTGTATGCCTTTTTGTCCGTTCCCATGGAACCCAGAGTTGCCCGTCCACATCTTACTGGCAACATGACTCTGTAAAATAATAAAGTTTCCTGGTTTTTGTAAAGATGCAATGACTTCTCTCTACTGTTCTCTGCGTTCCTGGTTCTCTTGTACTGCGTGTGATTGTACTTTTGACACGTTCCAATCCAAACAGTGCTAATATGGTAGAAATAGGATGTGTTACCAACCAAACCGACCGACGCCACGAGCAAGATCCCTCCCCACTTCTTTCTGCTCAGTAGTTGTTCACTCATGCTGTTACCAACGGGTTTTCGCGTCCCTCTGACCAGTTAATGCCAGCCACATATCTACATCCCTGTTCTTATTTATGCTCATCTTTCACAGAAACGTATACAACAATCTACTTTCCGGCTCATTCCCAGACACCTTTGGCAACCTTGCAGGCCTGAAATCCCTGTAAGTCATATTTACTCCTCTAGAGTCTCTCTACAGCATGGACACTCAAAAAGGGCTCTACATACAGACTGCCAGAAGCCACGTCCTTTTCGTATTTCTCACCGACCTCGTGAGCACTCAGATCAGATGCCGTAGACCCTGGTAAGGGTCTTGCTAAGGGTCTTGGTGAGGACCCTGGTAAGGACCCTGGTAAGGACCCTGGTAAGGACCCTGGTAAGGACCCTGGTAAGGACCTTGGTATGGACCTTGGTCAGGGAGAATCTCACATCACAGGTAAGGACCCTGGACCCCTTTGATGATGTTACCTGCGGACTAGGCAGAGCAGCAGAGGAGAGGACTTGAGAAGCTTATGTGGGAATCTGCAACCCACTAGCCCCTTCATGCGAGAGCTGAGGGAGAGTCTTGATTGTGGAATCAGTTGGCCAGTAAGCATGAGGGAGGCCCCCAGACCTTCCAGGTCCTCAACAGTTGGCTGGTAAGCATGCGGCCCCCAGACCTCCCTTCCCAGGCTCTCTTCCTCCGTCGCTGCCTGCGCATGTTCCATCTTGCTGCATGCATGCATGTGTTCTGCTGCAGGCTAATTGTATTCTAACATGTCGCAGCCTCATGCTGGCCCGTCGCAGCCTCATGCAGGCCATGGAACTTTTTTCTCCAAGGAAAGTCATCTATGGTCGCATGTCCTGCTTCTTCCTGCTTCAGCATATGATGTGCTCCCCTTGTTGCCACTGCTTATTCCCCCCAGCACAACAAATCCCTTTATCATTTGCGTCTAGCCTCTCTGCTTTTCTGTCGACTCCTCTCCTCTCCCACCTTCCTGAAGGTTTGGGTTATTTATTGTGAACGCATGACAAACACTGCTTATTCAATCCTCATTCACATCTTGTGCTCATCATATCAGGTCACTAGGTCGAAATAATTTCAGCGGCTCGATCCCAGAAGCCTTGTTCTCTCTCACAAACCTCAACTTCATGTAAGCTCTTGTGTTTCTCCTACTTTTTTTTTATGGGCCTGTAAATACCTGCCTGATACCCCTGTTTTCTGGCCTCCATTCCACCACTTTCGCTGCTCGTCACGTCTCATTCATAATACTGGCCTTCCTGCTGCGTTGCTCTTACCTGCCAGCAAGGATACTAGTTCCTATTATACGGGCGTTTGCTGATCCTTGGTCTAATTAGTCATTACTGTCCTGTCTTCTGATCTGCTGGTGATCGCACCATATGCCTGGCCAATAAATTGAAGAAGCACGCTTGTTTCATCTGTTCCTCTCCCAACCCCTCACTCTCCCCCCATCACGTGATCTTAATCGCAGGCATTTTGGTAGCAATCGGCTCACAGGCACAATCTCCACAGGGTTAAGCTCTCTTACAAACCTTTTAAGCCTGTAAGTTATCCAGATTCCACTTCCTCTCCCTTCCATTCTAAACCTTCTCACTCTTTACCCTTTCAAACACTCCCCGATTTTCACCGCTATTCAGTCTGGTTTTATTTCATTATCATGTCTGCTCTTGTTTAACGGACGCAATGTGCGTGGGAGAGCCTATGCAGACGAACTCAACATAACAGCATCCCTTCCTCTAGTCAAAATCTTCTGTCCCCTCCTGCTTGCCACTGTAGCATTGTCCTCCTATGCCCATACGCACTCACAATGATCATCAGAACCACTTCTGCAAGTCACTTAAAGATGGCCTTAAGTAGTGTGTATATATTTGTTGCTCCTGTATCTGTTCGACTCCCTTGCATGTTCCAATCAAAATCAATCATCACACACAGTGACCTCTCATCCAACAAGCTTACAGGCAGCATCCCTGTTGGTCTCACTGCCCTCAAACAGCTGTACAATCTGTAAGAAACGACTTATTTTCTCATAAAATCCTCTGTACGTTTTACTCCTCTTTTGTTTCCTCCAGAGTAACCTCTTCTCTTTTCTTTGCAACCTCCGCCTCCTCCCCCCCCCTTCCACCTCCTCATCCTCCTCCTCCCCCCACTTCCTCCTCCTCCTCCTCTTCCTCCTCCTCCTCCTCCTCCTCCTCCTCCTCCTCCTCCTCCTCCTCCTCCTCCTCCTCCTCCTCCTCCTCCTCCTGTCCCTCTTTCTCCCCGATTCATTGTTCGTGCCATTGCAGTGCGTTGTCATACAACCAGCTCTCAGGAAGCATCCCTGCTGGAATCAGTGCCCTCACTCAACTGAACGTTCTGTGAGATGCGGCCCTTCTCTTGGCTGTTATCTTCTTGCCCTTCTCTTCTGTGCCCTTCTCCACTTCTTTTTTCTTGCTTGGTTTGCCTCCTCTCATATTTACATGTAAACGCCACTCTTAATCAAAGTGAAACAAACTTCAAAGCCGCTCTGCTAAACAATCAGCACCCCTCTTCTCGCTTCCCATACCCCCATCTTTTCCAGTCTGTGTCTTGCTGAAAGGCATTCTCACTCTCTAAACCGTGGCATTCTGCCTATGACCATTGCATGGCCACTTCATTTGTGCAGGCCACTTCGCAGCAACAACCTTACTGGATCTATCCCAGCAGAGCTCAGCCTTATGCCATCCTTGAATGATCTGTAAGAACTCTGATTTTCGACTGACCTCTGTGATCTGTCCTCCTATCCACCATTCATCCTTTTGCTCTCTTGCCACTGTATTCTCTAATTCACTACCTCTTTGTATAACACCTTTTAAAATGTTAGTGCACTTAGACTGTTGTTGTCTCTTATAGTGCAATGCTCCTGCAGTGCTCCCACATTACTCCTCCTATTGTGCTGCTCTGGTGGGCGTGTGGCGTGAGCCTATGGTGTGGGCTCATGGTGAGCCTTTGTGTGGTGTAGAAATTCGGAGGTGTTCTAATTTAAAGCCTCTTACGTCTTCAAAGCCCTTCAGTGGCTCCCGTCCATCTTGTACGATCCGATCTCAGCCGTTCAATGCCATCCTCTCCTCTCTTGCTTGCATGCGTGTTACCATCAACCAAACCTGCCAGTGATCTTTCGTGCAACCAGCTCACAGGCAGCATCCCTGGTAGCTTCAGTGACCTAACTAGCATGAATAAATTGTGAGACTTGGTTGAACAGAAGGAATGACAAGGTTTATGCGTTGTGGTTGGTTGGAGCTGTAATGAGTACGATGAATATGTATGTCTGTCATACATGCATGCATATGTTGACTTGGGCATGTTGATTTTGGACACCCATCTCTTAAAATCTCTCAGTCTGTGTATTTGTGAACATTTCAGGTGCAATGTCATCATGATGCTATTGTGTCTATGATCTATAATCTATAAATCGTAATGCATTCACCAACCATTGTGTTTGTGCCTCTCCTTTCACCCTTCTTGTGACTGTCATGTGCTCACTATTTCAGAAATGTCTCCAACAATCAGCTCAGTGGGTCACTTGACGTAGTTGCCTCTATTGGTGTTAACTATCTCTATTCCCTGTAAGAACTTATTCTTTCTTTGCTCTCCAATCTCTGCCCCTCCTTTCCTCCTTTCTCCACTTTCACCAATCAACCCATCATCTCCTTGGCCTGTCTTTGTTCTGGGCTTCGCCTCGGTTCAAACTTTGACGCAGCTCAATAAAACAAAGTCAAACCGGACCAGGCAGAGTTGTTCGATCCAAACCTGAACAGGTCCGAGCCAAACCATACTGCAGCTCAATATCTTGCTCAACCCTGCAATCGACTAGCTAACTCTAGTTGGCATTTTACGTTTACGGGGGTTTACGTGTACGTGACTTGCGTAGCAAACTTACGTTTACTTACGTGTGCCCAAAACGGCTTTACGTTTACGGTCAGCCAGAAACATTTCTGGCTGCCCGGATAGATTAGAATTCATTGGACTAAGTGGCTGCATGGGAAGCGCCTAATCAATCACTAGTTTGGTTCTTCTATGCCCAAGCATGTTAGACATTATTACATCATCTTACAGATGCCCATCTACAGCGACATGTCACAGCTTCTCCTCCCACCTCATATCAGTCAAATTTTCTCATTTCGCAGACAAAACCATAAAGGACCAACTAAGCCCTAAGCATCTTTTCATTTTGAAACGACTCAGAACCAAATGGCTTTTAAATTTCTCGCTCAACCCTACATTCAACCACCTCAGCATCTTGACATTTTGCTAGGCTATCTGAAACTGCAAGCTTGACTGCCATCCCTCCCTCTTTCATCTTGTTTCAGTGACCTCTCGTGCAACCAGTTCTCAGGGAGCATCCCAGCTGCCTTCAGTGATTTAAAAAGACTGGGAGCATTGTGAGAATGGGCACAAGGAATGACAGGATTGATGTGTGCTGTATTGGTGCATTTGGACTGAAATATGCGACTGGAAAGTGGATGCAACTGGAATGTGAAACATGCATTGATCTCGTGATTGCTACATAAATCTTGGTTTTAGGCCGGTGCAGTAAAGCATATTTCTGATTTACATATAAATCGTTCCAGAAACCCTCTCTCCCCATTTCTCCTATGACCTTTGTTCTGAAAACATCCCCATCTCTCCCCGTTGTGCTGCTGCCGTCTCGATCGATGATATTGTGGCAAAACTAGCACTTTCTGAATTTTGCACTGTTTTCTCTCTCTCTCTCTCTCTCTCTCTCTCTCTCTCTCTCTCTCTCTCTCTCTCTCTCTCTCTCTCTCTCTCTCTCTCTCTCTCTCCCTCTCTCTCTCCCTCTCTCTCTCTCTCTCTCTCTCTTCTCTCTCTCTCTCTCTCTCTCTCTCTCTCTCTCTCTCTCTCTCTCTCTCTCTCTCTCTCTCTCTCTCTCTCTCTCTCTTGTGGCTGGCACGTGCTCATCAACTCAGAAATGTCTCTTTCAATCAACTCAACGGCTCACTTGAAGCTATAGAAACTATTACTGCCCTCTATTCCATGTAAGCCCTCTGCTCTGAATTTCCCCGTTTCGCTCTGCCATTCAAACTGTCAGCCTTAGCTGATTGTATCTGTCCCAGCTTGCTCCTCCACACCTTACCTCTGGTCTGGGTGTATGTTTCTTGCGTCTTCAACTCTTTGTCACTGGGGCTTCACCTTCTTCGGAGTTTGTCGTCTTGACTTACTGATCCCGTGTACAAGCAAGCCCACTAATTATCTTCACCATTTTATCTCTCAGAAGCTGCAAACTCAACTTCTATCCCTTCCACTTTCATTCTGATCCAGTGATCTTTCATCCAACCAGTTCTCAGGCAGCATCCCAACAGCTCGGCAGCATGCCATGGCTGGGATACTTGTGAGACTGAACGGGAAGAACTGGCGCGATCAATGTTTTGTGGCTGTAGGGATGGATTGTGAATAGTGCAGCATGCCTGTGGAATAATATGTGCATTTGTTGTATTGTGATTGCCGCATCCGGAATAGTTTGATGCAGGAGTGTATGAAGCCTGTGCAGTAAAAATAAGTCGGGCGCTGCTTGTTCCATTTCATCTCCTCTCACTCGCTAACCCGATACTGTCCATTCTGCTTTGCGTCTTCTCAAATCCAGGTTTCTCGTTTTCTTCTGTCGACCGTCCTTTGTTGCGCCTCTTGCACTTCCCCTTGCCATGCCAACCACAGATATTTAGGAAACAATGCGTTCAGTGGCTCTTTTCCTACAGTCTTGAAAACCCTGACCTTCTTGACCTACCTGTAAGCCTGTCCCATTCTCTCTTCACCTTGTCTCTCGTCCACCACACCGTTCCTCTTGTTATTTTCCTCCGTTCTTCATTCCTCTTATCCCCATTTCTTATCTCTGTTGTTCTGGCTGCTATTTCTGTTCCTGCATCTATTGCTGCCCCTCCGCTTGGTGTCTGTTCCCTCTTGAATCTCGATCACTTCTTTTTGGCATCGTTTTTGCTTGGTCACCAAGAAAATCTCCCTGACAAAAATGACTCTTCCATCATGCATGTGTTCAGGAATTTAACATGCCACTGCGCTAGTTTCTGTGAACACTTTTAAAGAACCTCCTTTCTCGTGCTTGGTCTGTCAAAACTTTCCCTCATACCCGCTGTACAGAACTCTCAATAACAATCAGTTTAGTGGCACCATCCCCTCAGACATCAGCCTGTCTGGATACATGGGAGACCTGTAAGCCACTTTCGAGACGTCTCAAAACGTCTCAAAACTCAATATCAGTCAGTTCAGTGGCACAATCCCCTCAGACATCAGCCTCTCTGGCTGGATACCTGGAAGACTTGTAAGTCTGGGAGGATGCTAGACCAATGGTTCACTTGAGTGCCTTGTGTTCTCTTCGCATTGTTCCCTTATTTTCTAAGGCTGTATGGGCATATCCCTTGTTCTCCTCTTCTAGACTCCTGTTTCCCATCTTTTAAAATCCCCTCTGTTTCTCCATCTCCCCATGCTCATGTTTCTGGCCGCGTCAAACATAAAACCCTTCTATTTGTTACCCTCTACCCATTTGTAGACCTATTATCATCTCCCCATAACCAGGATATCACCAGCGTGGTCCCTCCTCTCACCAGTACTCACCTGATGTTTGTTCCTTTCAATGCGATCACCAACCCTCCCTCTTATCATGGTCCCTCTCTAACGGCGCAGAAACCTTCGAGGAAACCAGTTCAGTGGACCCATTCCCGATGGATTCAGCTCACTTTCGAGGCTCACTCGACTGTAAGCGAGATCACAGTGTTGTGTTGTGTTGTGTTGTGTTGTGCTGTGCTGGGCTGGGCTGTGTGCTCGCCTGCCTGCCTTCCTCCCTCCATTTCGCCCTTTCTCCTTCTGCTCTTCTGATACTCGCAAACTTTGGTCCTCTCTATTGACCCTTGCTTCCTAATTAGTCTCTGTTTCAATTCTCCATTTTCTACAACTTGAGTTACTACCCTTTGCATTTCTGTCTATTTCAGTGACCTTTCATCGAACCAGTTCTCAGGCAGCATCCCAGATGGTTTCAGCAAGCTCAACAATTTGCAGACCTTGTGAGTAGATCAAGTTCGTGGCCCCAATACGAATGCATTTGGCGCCTAGTTGTTGTTGGATAGTGAAGAGAGGAATTCTTGTCCAAGCCAAATACAAGACGGAACCGCCCTGAGAAGTTTCAGGCAATGCATGCAGACAGCCAAAATAAAACCGATGTTTGATTGTATCACAGTCATGGTCCTTGACGCTAACCTCTTGGAAAGCCTTGTTTATGTTTGCTTCTTAATGTGTCTCTCCCCTCCCTGTGCCTATACGATGATTTCTTCCTTGCACTACAACAGGCGTCTCCAGAGCAACCAGCTCTCTGGCTCAATCCCTTCTAGCATCGGCAACATGGACCTAACATTCCTGTGAGCTCTCTTCAGTGTTACTTTTGAGGCGCCTCAAAAGCTGACTCAATCCCTTCTAGCATTGGCAACACGGACCTAACATTCCTGTGAGACGTCTTCAGTGTTATCCTTGTATTATGTCCCTGCCTTGTTTGCACATCACAGTGGTTACTTACAGGGAGAGGATTAGAGACAAGAGTGTGTGAGTGAGGAGATGAGGGAGGGAGGTGATGCCTTGCAGTGCCTTGCACCATCCAACCAATGGCTTACAATCCGAACCAGCACTCATGGCTCATGCCAGAGTTTTTACGCACTCTAGAAGCAGGGCTATGCTCTTGCATCCACGGTCTATCCCTTGCTTCCTATTTCTAGCAATTTTACCACTTTCGTAAGCGGTCCTTCCATCTGACAACAGCTTGGCATTGAGCTCATGCTACAGTGCAATCATGCTTCGTTATTATCACACACCTCAGCATGGGAACAACTATACAGTTGACTACTCTTCTATACAATTTCCGGCTCTGCTCATGTTCTTGCCAAAACTTGGTCCATCACATGTCTGTCTCCTTTGCATTCACCACCACAGGTCTTTAAGCAGCAACCTGCTCTCTGGCCCGATCCCCTCTGAAATTGGTTCCCAGAAAAATCTGGTTGCCCTGTAAGGCATCGATATGCAAACTGCGCACGTTGGTTGTTTTTGCCGTTACCTTTCCAGTATTCAGGTTTTTGTATCAATGTGTCTAAAGGGCGCTGTGATGATTTCCATAATAATCACCATGCTGGTAACTCTCCTCTCCCCCTCCCTCCCTCGCCCCCTCCCCCACTCTCCTTTTCTTTTATTATTGTTTACTTTCTTCCTTCTTGCGGTGTATCATACAATATACCTTCTCCTGTGCTATCCATTCATCTTATAAGCAGCATCTCACAAGTGCCACCCCTTGAGCTTTACATCCTCCTCCTGTCCCAGTGACCTTTCATCCAACCAGTTCTCAGGCAGCCTCCCTGCTAGCTTATCAGATCTCAGTAGACTGCAAAGCTTGTGAGTTACTTCGTGTAATAGAAATCTTTCTGTTTTACAAGGCGGATGGAAAGGTGCAATGGAATATGAGAGACGTGTGTACAGCATCTTGCGATTGATGTGCAATCCTGTAAAGTAGACATGAGTAATGCAGAGTCAATTTTAATGCCAGTCCGAGCCTCCGGGTGAGATTCGAGTCAAGTAGGTTCCGACAATCCCAGCTACATCCCAGCTACATCCCAGCTACATCCCAGCTACATCCCAGCTACATCTCAGCTACATCCCAGCTACATCCCAGCTACATCCCAGCTACATCCCAGCTACATCTCAGCTACATCCCAGCTACATCCCAGCTACATCCCAGCTACATCCCAGCTACATCCCAGCTACATCCCAGCTCCATCCCAGCTACATCCCAGCTACATCCCAGCTACATCCCAGCTACATCTCAGCTACATCCCAGCTACATCCCAGCTACATCCCAGCTACATCCCAGCTACATCCCAGCTACATCTCAGCTACATCTCAGCTACATCCCAGCTACATCCCAGCTCCATCCCAGCTACATCCCAGCTACATCCCAGCTACATCCCAGCTACATCTCAGCTACATCCCAGCTACATCCCAGCTACATCCCAGCTACATCCCAGCTACATCCCAGCTACATCTCAGCTACATCTCAGCTACATCCCAGCTACATCTCAGCTACATCCCAGCTACATCTCAGCTACATCCCAGCTACTTCCCAGCTACATCCCTGCATCCCCCAGCTTCATCTCAAAGCAGTGCAACTAATTCAGGGAAAGCAGTGTGGAAAATCAATGTTCCAACCACGAAAACGTCCAATGAGCCGTTTTATTTTGCCAAAACTTACTTGGCGAGGCGAGGATGCTGTAGCGTGCATGAGGGCTGACTGACGACATGAGGATTGAACGCCTGGCGGAAGAGCTGACATGATTGCAAGGTGCTTTAGGAGTACTGGCCAGTGGGGTGATCCAGAGAATATCGATTGGCCAAATTGCGTTCTAAAGTAGTTTCCCTTTTTGAGGGTGTGTCAAATGCCGATTTGATTCAAGTTATTTCAACTTGACAAGCGTAAAAATACTTTGAGCTTTTTAGAAAACCAGGCAAGAAATCTCTGAGTTTTGTGTAAAAAAATCCAGGCTCGATGTGACCGGGATTTCTTTACAGTCAATATGTTCTCCCTAATGGAGTCAGTTTTTACTCAACTCAAACGCTTCTTTCCATTCTGTGCCTTTCTTTCTCCTTCTGCATGTCTCTCATTCTGATATGGTCCTTCAATCCATACTGTTCCCACTAAAAATCACAGGCACCTTGACAACCTTCAGTTCACTGCCCCTATTCCTGCTGTGGTCTTCTCATTGACCGCACTGAAAGAATTGTATGGTCCTATCCAAGCCATTTCATGTGCTATATACATTCCCGCCTCTCCTCTTGTTCATGCACTCGTTTCTTGTTCGCTCCCTTTGTCCTCTCCCTTCTTCCATTCACCTCCATCTGTGTGCCTTAACTAGAAGGGGAAACGGAGGCTAATAAGACATCCAGCACATGTTCCCCGATGACCTTTTTTTTTCACTTTTTACAAGCCATAGTTTTATGCATGCGCCTACGTACTGTCATTTCGTTTGCACACTTCAAGCCTCTGATCTGGATTGGAACTGTCAAACGTTCTTTCCATGTCTGTGCATCCCCTCACTCACAGGTCTATAGTAAACAGCCAAATCAATGGCTCGATCCCTCCAGCTATCACCTCTCTTTCAAGCCTGGAAAACCTGTAAGGCCTAATCTATGACTAGCTGGTGCGTGCTTTTGAGGCTCCTCAAAAACCTGTGTGTATGTCTAGTGTATGTCTAGTGTATGTCTAGTGTATGTCCAGTGTATGTCCAGTGTATGTCCAGTGTATGTCTAGTGTATGTCTAGTGTATGTCCAGTGTATGTCCAGTGTATGTCTAGTGTATGTCTAGTGTATGTCTAGTGTATGTCTAGTGTATGTCCAGTGTATGTCTAGTGTATGTCTAGTGTATGTCTAGTGTATGTCTAGTGTATGTCTAGTGTATGTCCAGTGTATGTCCAGTGTATGTCTAGTGTATGTCCAGTGTATGTCCAGTGTATGTCTAGTGTATGTCCAGTGTATGTCCAGTGTATGTCTAGTGTATGTCTAGACTCTAGTGTATGTCTAGTGTATGTCTAGCTGGTCTGTGTGGGCTTGAATTTATCCCCACCCTGCTTTCAAACTTTGGTATATCTTATTTACAGCTCCAGTGCAAAGCAGATGAGCAATGGCCCCATCAGTCCATCAATCCAACAATCAGCTCATTACCTTGCCATCACTTCAAAACTATAACCACAATCATGTCCTCGCACCAGCCTGGTTATGGGTAATTGTAGACCATCCATCAGTATTCTACCCATCATTCCGTTCATCCATCCATCCGTCCCCCCCCAACCCCTTGGACTCTCCTCTCCAGGGAGCTGTCCTGCATCCACGTTCCCTCACGTTCCTCCTGCAAACCTAATCATCCATCCGTCCCCCAAAACCAAAACCCCCTTGGACTCTCCTATCAGGGACCTGTCCCGCAACCAGCTCTCTGGGCCCATCCCTTCAAAGCTTTTCTTCCTGGACCGTCTGGTCTCACTGTGAGTGCCAAACACAACACGAGCACCCATCCCATCCATGTGCCACCATTCCACCCACCCTTGCATCCCCCCCTCATTGCATGCCCGCCACGATTTTTTTGTTAGTGTGAGCTGCTCGATACCCTTCAATATATAGGTTCTCAAGCAAGCTCTCGAGCACAATACACCTTTAGATTCCCCATAGATTCCTCATGCTTCCCCACACTCCCTCGCTGGAATGCTGCTGCACCACTCTTTGCAGCTGCTCCAACTGTTGCTGCTGACTTACTGATTCTTCTGCTGCTGTCACTGATGCTGCTGCTGCGGCTGCTTCCGCTGCATCTGCTGCTTCTACTCCTGATGTTGCTGCTGCTGCTACCACCACCACCGCGGTCACTGCCGCTGCCCATTTCACTTCAACCAGAGTTCGTTTCTTGCTGTTTCACCTGAACAATTTCATCCCCAAACTGTGTGCAAGCCTCTCCTGGTTTCTTACACTTCATGCTTATCCAACCCCACGCTTATCCAACCCCCCTGTGCACATCTGGCTTACAGGAACTTAGGTTTTAACTCGCTCTCCGACTCCATCCCTTCGAAACTCAGCTGGTTATCCAATCTCGTCTATCTGTAAGCCTCTCCTTAACCACCTTGCTACTCAAGTTGTTCTCTCCCTCTCACACCTGTGTGGTCTGTCTATACAACGACTCCTTATCGGTTCCTTGCCATTTGCAGCATGTCAATTTTTTCCTTCCGATTCTTGTGTTGCAACCTCCTTGTGCTACTGTGTCGTGTCACTTGCATTCTTGCTTACCAGCCGTCCTCTCGGGTTTAGGGTTTCCTCCATGGGTTGGGGTGAATATATAACTTGGAACACAAGAAATAAAACACGCAACTTGCAAGCAAGCTCTGCTGGATGTGCGCTGCCTTGTTTGCAATCAAATCAATCCATCCATCCTTCTGCTCTCCGTCTGTCCCATCCGTCCGTGTGCTCTCCTCTCTCATTGCACAGGGATCTAAGGCTGAACGACCTTAGTGGACCTCTTCTCCCAGCTACCATCACCCCTCTGAAGAGTCTCCAGGAGCTGTAAGGCGGATCCTTATGTGCTTACACCAGCTTCTTTGTTAAAAGCGTTTTAAGACTTCACAGACCTCAATCACACGTGACCAGTTCTGTATAAGCGTTTATCAGATTTATTCGGTGGTACATTGGTGAATGGTCGTGTGACTGTTTCTGTCAATCTGTGTGTGTGCAGGTGGCTTGACAGGAACAAGATCACTGGATTCATTCCAACTGTCATTGGCACCCTGACCAATCTTGTGCAGTTGTGAGTGGCTCCGTGTGCATGAATAGCAGATGTGATACGAATTGAGACGACTTTGCTTCAGCTCACAGCTTTATTAGCACTCAATTTTCTCTTCATCCCCCCCCTCTCCCCCCCTCCTCTCCCCCCTCTCCCCCCTCTCCGTGTGCACGCTCTATCACCATTTGCATGTGTCGTCCGCCTCCTCTCCTGCCTCAGAAGGACCTTCATATTTTTGAGGCGCCTCAAAAATGGGCTCCTCAGAAAGCATCTCTATTTCCAGCATTGCAATTCTCCTGAAACTCCACTTCTCTGCGCTTCTCCTCACCTCACCTCTCATCACCTCTCTTCGCCTCTCCTCTGCAATCCTCTCCTTTCATCTCCCCTCCTCTCTCCTCCTCTCCTCTCCTCTCCTCTCCTCTCCTCTCCTCTCCTCTCCTCTCCTCTCCTCTCCTCTCCTCTCCTCTCCTCTCCTCTCCTCACCTCTCCTCTCCTCTCCTCTCTTATCCTCTCCTCTCCCTTCCTCTCTCCTCTCCTCTGCTGCTCTCACTTCCGCGTCTTTTATCTCGCCTTTTCTCCTTCCCACTGCGCATACAGGCAGACGTGCATCTCAGATTTCATGCTCACACCATCATGTCTTTTTCACAATACCTTCGCCATCCCTCCACCATTTCTCCTCCATCCCTCCACCATCCCTTCATCCCTCCGCCATGCCTTCATGTGATGGCTCTTAGGTCTCTCGCCAACAACCTACTGTATGGAAGCATACCAGGCGCAGTGACCTTGCTCACAAAGCTCAAGACCTTGTAAGGCCCGACTTATTGCCTGCCAGGAATCCCATTCACGTTCTTTTTCTGCCTTCCTTCTTTCAAGCCAGTGTGCTCTCGTGCTCTTGTTTGAGTGAAATGCTGCGTCACTCTCATGAACCTAATCCTGCATTTATCTACCCTGTACAAGGGAGCATGCTGTCAAGTCAACCATTGAATGCATTACTGTGTGTCACTAGGATGCTCTGCCTTATTCTCACATACCACCTTACCGCTTGCTCCTACCGGGTCTACCCCACACCACAGGAGGTCATTTTTGGTCGACTCAAAAATCCCCTCACATTTGACGCACCTTTTTCACTTGCTGGCTGTAATCCCACAGCAAGCAGACACACCTTGCATCACTCTCGTCTCGTCCTCATACTCTTGTTTTGTATCACTTAGTATGATGCTTAGTATGATGCTTAGTAGGATGCTTAGTATGATGCTTAGTATGATGCTTTCCACCGCTATGCTTCTTCTGCCCTGTCTTCCCCCCGCCCCACAGCGACCTCTCCCACAACTATTTCACAGGCACATTCGTCAAACCAGCTAACGTGCTGGCTGTGCTTTCATACAACTACCTCTCGGGCACTTTACCGTCACAGCCAACAGACCTGCTCGACGCTAACTGCTTCCAACTGTCCCACGGAGAAACCTCACCAGTGCAGCGTCCCGAGTCAGAATGCCGCGCGTTTTGCGGCATCTCGATGGGTTCTGTTGCCCCTCTCTGCACCGGGCATGGCGTGTGCTACCCTGATGGGCCTAACCTCGTGCCTACCTGCCTGTGTGATACAGCACAAGGGTACAGCTTGTTCCGACGGGTCTTTTGCCTTGTCGATGGTAAGTAGATGGGGCCTTAGTGTCGCGGAGAGAAGTCTTGAAGGGATAGTGGTGCAAGCTCGAAGGTATTGCTGCTTGATAATCTGCCCAACTTTGAAGGGTACACACACCTTCGCTTAGACACTCATGCATCCTGATTTCAATTCACACATCATCACAGCACACCATCCCTTGGAGCTGTCCAGCGTTTAATCTCTCACACTCCCTTAGCGTCTGCCTCTTTTCCTCTCCATGGCTCCTCTTCTCCCTTCGTCCCCATGGTTTCCTTGCACAAACGGACCTTTTCTCTCCAGTGAAGTAGGAGATTCTCCCTGCGTCAACCACATCCTCCTCATCCTCATCCTCTCCTTGGCTTCTTTTTTCCATCCGTCCACACAATTTCGTTGCAGAAACGGACCTTGTCTCTCCAGTAGAGGAGGAAATTCTCCCTGCGTCAACCGTGCTCACAGCAGGAACAAAAAAAGAGGCAGTTGGGGTATTCAACCCAGACCCAGTCCCTCTCTTCATGTATGAAGCTGGTCGTGTGTACCCAGGCTGTGGGTTTGAGCTGGCCTTCACTGTCAACTTCACCTTCGCCCTCTCGCCTACCGGCAAGGCCATTTCCAACGGCTTTGCCTTTGTCGTCTCGGCGACCAACACAGTGGGGAGCGATGTGGGAGTGGGTTACGGAGGGATGGACACCCGCAGCATGGCTATTGAGTTTGACGTGGTTCAAAACAGGCCGCAGGACGACATAAAAGACCCGCACGTGGGGGTGAACATCCAGGGCCAGGAAAAATCAATCGCAGCTGTGAAGTCCCCATTCCCACTCGCCAACAAAAAGCCGTACACGGCATGGGTGGACTATGTTCCGGGGGACCCTGGATTTATCCGGGTATTCCTGGCAACAACAGCAGTGAAGCCTGCAAAGCCGCTGCTGGAGGCGCGGCTGTCGCTGTGTGCTGTGCTCAAGCCGGGGCCGCCGCAAGCAGTCCCAGAGCAGCCGCGGGCGTTCTACTTTGGCTTCGTGGCGTCCACCACTGTGAAGCCGTTCATGATGCACACCATCCTCAGCTCTTACCTGCTCACAGGTGAGTAACCGGTCCCTTCCTCCCTCTATTGATTGTGGCCCCAGGTGGGTGGGTGGGAACTCTTGCGCGCGCTAAAAAGCTAACCCCTAGGCTGCTTACAGTTGTAGCCCTTATATCCTAAGGTTCCCAGTCTGGCCTTGTGAACCCTCCCAGCATCGGTCAATGCCCCCAGAACCATTCTGGCCTTTTTCCTCTTTCCTTCTTGTCTGGTTTCCTTTCTACAGGCGCTCCTCCCCCACCTTCAACAGTCAACATCGTTCCAGGCAAGCCCTTGCATGCCAACACTGAATCAATGAAACATGATTGACCCTCTATTGGATGCTTTACTACGTTCATCAATGGCTCTAGTAGCTGAATCTAGAATTCAACCTGCCTGAGCTGCGTTCTGAGCTTTTCTGAGCTGTTCTGAGCTGTTCTGAGCTGCGTTATCTTAGACCCTAACACATATCTTCTCAACGCATCCACATCTCCCCTCCCCCCATCACGTCTTCTCTCACCTTCCTCCCAAACCCTTCCCTCTGCCACTCATACTCTCTCCCCTACTGCTCACACGCACTCATGTTCCCCACTCTCTAGCCTACGGTTTAAACGTATCACTGAACACGTATGTGCCGGTACGAGCCCCTTCTCGCTCTCTCATCCCTCTCCCTCTCCCCTCACCCTCCCCAACTCCCCACACCTATTCTCCCACCCAATACAGTCTACGGTCTAAACGTGTCACTGAACACGTATGTGCCCGTACGGGCGAGCCCTCTCCCTCACCCTCACCAACTCCTCAAACCTATTCTCCCATCACTACAGCCTACGGTCTGAACATTTCACTGAACACGTACGTGCCCGTACGGGCAAGCCCCTTCCTGCGCTGACATCCCTCTCTGTCTCCCCTCACCCTCCCCAACTCCCCACACCTATTCACCCACCCACCACAGCCTACGGTCTTAACGTATCACTGAACACGTATGTGCCTGCAAAAGCAAGCCCCTTTCCGCGGTATGTGAGTGCGGACTACCGAGTGTCGGCGGGACAGAAGGACTCGTGGGTCTTCAGGGACCTCCACTCCTGGGACGCCGTGCCCTTCCTCGGTTGGCCCGTTAAAGATCAGGGCGATTGCAGTGAGTGCCAACCCAACAGGGGACCGCAACTGGATTTGCGGCAGGCGTGCTGTTGCGAGAAACGCATCATGCTTTTTTGGGGGGGGGGAGGGGGAGGTTTACGGTTTTTTTCCCTTTTTTTTAGTTTCAGGACTCGAGTGCCAGTTCTGACTCACCAGCGCTAATCAGTTTCTCGTTCCTTTTCTGTTCTTTTCTGTATCCACTATTACATCTGATCTCTGCTGTTCCTTCCGCGCTCCTTCCGTGCCCTCTCCTTCAGACGCGTGCTGGGCATTCGCAGTGGTATCAAGCATAGAAGCAGCATATGGCATCGCGACAAACCTAGAGGCGCCAAAGCTGTCAGTGGACTCGCTCTTCACAGCCATGGGGTTCACCACTCAGACAGCCAAGTGCAATGCCGGAGGATCCCCAACAGATGCCTTTGAGAAGCTCATGGCGCTGCCTAAGGGGGCTATTACCATGGAAGGCAATAAGGTATGGAGGGCAGTAAGGGCGTTTCCAGCACTGTTTAAGTTGTACGGTCGTCTTACAGGGGGAAAATTAAAAAAAAAAAAAAAACAAAAACAAAAACAAAAAAAAAAACACTAAACAAAGAACATTCTCGCTCGCTCACATATCTTTCCTTTCTTTGCCAATTTTATCACCTCGTTTCTCTGACCTTTTTGTATTGCATTCAACTCCCTTCCAAACCCTCACGTTCTCCACTGCATTCCAGAAAATCACGTTCCCTGTGCAAGGCTTTGAGCGCACTGCCTTCAAGGGGTATGTGGGGCTATTGCTGGCAGTGCAGCGGCAGCCAGTGGTGGTTCACGTTGAAGCCACTGTTGCTTCGTTCGCCAAATACGACGGGGTGAGTGCTGCCTGGGCAGAATCACGTCCAGTTTCTACTCTGTGCGTGGTGTATGGAAAGCTTTGCGTGAGCTGGTATTTGGTTCTTTTCTAAACTCTAATCTCGTTTTATCTGGTATGTGTTCGCCAAATACGACGGGGTGAGTGAAACCGAGTCACCTTACAAATGGTGTGGTTTTGTTGGTCAATTGCCGCTGCATTTAAGGCTCCTTTCCGCTTCCTACTTGCCATGTGTGACTTGCCCAGTTGTCACCACATTTTTACAAAAATTGTGGGGGCAATGAACCGTGATACATGTCATCAGCTCACATAATATTATTGCGGTGTTTTTAAAAGAACGAGTGCATATAATTTTGTTTTTACTTAATATGCACCTTCGCAATGCCTATACGCAATGCATATACACCTCATAATCGATGTTATCTAACCAGCATATGTCCATGTTTGCCCTTCTGCTTCCAGACTTTCAAGTACCAGGACCCAGGCTGCTATACCGGCAACCTTAACCACGTTGTACTCGTTGTTGGTTACTTCGTTTTGAGAGATGATGGGAGCGAGAACCGCATTGCGCCTCCGTTTTGGATCATCCGCAACTCGTGGGGAGAAGAGTGGGGTGACAGAGGACACATGCGGCTGGACATTCAGGGAGGGGATGGCGTGTGTGGCATCAACGTGCTGCCTGGCATCTACCCCATTGTCAAGAGTGAGGCATCTACCCCGTTGTTAGGAGGAATGTATCACACTATCATCCGGACTGCAAGGGTGATACCAGCAATCTCAGAATCTTTGCTATACCCCTCTAGAGGATATCCGGCCCTGTTGTTCACCCAAAGAAGTCAAATGCACAATGTCATTCTTATCGAGCGAACCACACACATTTAGAGCCATGTGCTTGCTTGCTCTCATCACTTTATACAGAGCTCCAGCTTTCTCTGCGGTTTATCATTCCCTCAATCCCTGTCTCCCTTCTTTTCTGTCCAGTTCCCAAGGACCCGTGTGGCTTGAAGAGCTACAAGGGCGATGGAGACCTGCAGCCCAGCATGAACCCGTGCGGTCGCTTCACCTGCACTCCCAACCTCAAGACCAACAACAACAGCTGCAATTGCACCATTCCGGATCAGACCAAGCAGCCTTTTGTCGAGGCTGCAAACGGCTATGGAAACATCTGTGTTTATGGTGAGTCTGAGATAATATGTCATGTTTCCCCTTGGTTCTGTGTGCAATTATTCGCTTTTCTATGTTCTTAATCCTTGTAGAAATGCATTCAAAAAAAACTTCTTAGATGTGAACAAATCCCACTTATGTGTGTATTTTTGTACAAAGGGTCACTCTTTGTGTAAATGCACCCAGAGTCTACTATGTCGCAAATGTAACCCCCCCTCCCCCGCCCCTACTCGTTCTCTTCTTACTCTCCTTACACCACTCCGTATCACCCTTCTCCACCCCTCTTAACAGTGGACGTGTGTGGGTCGTACTTCAAGAACCCTTGTGCCGTGGGCACATGCATCAACGATGGCAAGGGCTCCTACTCCTGCATCTGCCCTCCCAATTATGTCCCCAGCCGAACCATCGATAACTTCCCCACCTGCGACCCAGGTGCTGCTACTCCCCATCCGTCCTGTGCCTCTTCTTCTCTCCAACAGCTTAGTCCCCTTCACTCTTTTCAAGAAATCTATTTTGGGCTGTTTTAGGTATCATACTGAGAGCAACGTGCTAATTTCTTGCCGCCTGACCATCACCAGCCGAGCACTGAGACGCATACCTAAAGAGTCAATCCTAGTTGGGGAAAGCACAAGGGAGTGAGCAGCAGCATTCTTTCCTCTATCCTACAATCCTTCTGGCCGTAGCCCTGCTTGGTATCGTTTGAGTTGACTGGATAAGTCAACTCAAACTCAAACTTATCCTAAGATTAATGTTAAATGTTCAACTATTCACTATTCAACTTTGTCTTCACTCCCCTAACTCCTTGTCTGTTTCTCCGTTTCACCCTCCTCTCACTCCCCCTCTCTCCTGCAGCCAACACCACAGCCACCAACATGACAGTGATCGGTGAAAACTGGCAGTGCACAGACGTGTATGCGCTTGTTGGAATCTCCCTCACGCAGTTCACTCAGCAGAACAGAGTAAGAAGACATCACCAACCATGTCAGTCACAGGTTGACTAATGAGTCAACCCAAAAGTCAACCTGGCAGTGCTCCGACATGTATTCTCTTGCTTGGCTATCCAGCAGCACCCAGTTCACTCAGCAGAACACGGTAAGGAGGCAATACTAAACTGGTTTTTGAGAATTCTCAAGAACACGGTAAGGAGGCAATACTGAACTGGAAATCACAAGTTGACTTTTGAGTCGACTCAAAAGTCAACCTGGCAGTGCTCTGACATGTATTTCCGCATGCCTGTGCTTCCAGTTGCCTGTAATTTCAAATGCCTCTAATTCCTAATGCCTGTGATTCCTAATGCCTCTGATTCCCAATGCCTATACTCTCTAATGCAGGCCGTAGCATGCAACAAAGCTTTGCCTAAAGGGACGGTGCTTCAGCTCGCTGAAACTCCCTTCATCCCCTGCACTGCCTTCTTCTATGTTCTCAGTGTGAGTGCTGGAGCTCGTAAAATAATAGCCAGTAAACTAATAGCCATATTGCTAAGTTGCATGCATCACCATATTGCTACGTTGCAACTCACTTAGCATCATATTTCACACCCCAAAAGGCATTCAATGTCCCATCATTTCTGATAGTCCCTTGTCCTCCTCACGCATCCTCATCATTTCTCTTCCATCCTATGCCCGTCTGCTTCCATATCTTTCATATCTTCCATAATTTCTGCATCTTCCATATCATCCATATCTATCAGATCTCCCATAACTTCCAATCGTCCATATCTCCCATACCTCCCATATCTCCCATATCTCCCATACCTCCCATATCTCCCATATCTCCCATACCTCCCATATCTCCCATATCTTCCACAATCCTTTCACCCTCCAGGGCGACACATGCACATCCATCGCCAGTTCGATCAAGCTCACAAGAGACGATCTCACAGACCTCAACCCCGGCCTTGACTGCACGCAAGCCATCAAGCCCGGGCGCTCTATCTGTGTGGAGCGGAACGTAACCTACGCCTACAGCGTGCCTCAGTGCGTGAAATACGCCACGCTCGCAGCGCAGAGCACGTGCGAGAAACTGCTGCAGGGGTTGGGATTGCCAAGCACTCCTTCTACCTGGGCTGACCTCTACCGCAATAACCCCGGGCTGGTCTGCTCCAACACCGTGCCTTTCACCACCTCGGCTGTTGGCAGCAACGTCGGCGTGCCGGTGAGGAATGGGTGGAAGTGGGAAAGGAATTGGTGGAAGTGGGAATGGAATGGGTGGGAGTAAGGGAGCCGCAAAGGGAGTTTGGAACTGGGAGAATGAGGAGAAGTAAAAGTAATCAATCATCGGGCGCACTTATAGTGTCTATCCTTGCTTTGCTCGCAACATTTCCTGCTCCTTGTCATCCTAACGTTCTACCTTTTCTTTTCTTTTCTGCCCCGTGCCCCATGTGGTGCCCTCAGGTGTGTCTGCAAGCAGACTACTGGCCGTTCCTACTCGGCAAATGCACCAAGGGCCGGCCCAAGAACGTGTCCCCATCACTGACTTGTTCTGCTGCTTACAGCTACTATGGCGGCACTATGACCCAAGCAGCTGCAGATTTTAATACCTACAATGGCAATGCATGTGCTAAGAATGTAGGGGCAAAGTACATATGCGTGCCACGGTAGAGTGATTTGAGGTTCTCTATGGTGTGGGCCCACACCCTTCTATATTATTTTCTTCCACTGTTACACCTAACTATGGTTTGAGCCCACACCCTAGTATATCTCTCCTTCCATTATTATGTTATGCCAACAACTATGGCAATCGTATTGGTGTGGCGGCTGCAAGACATCGAACGCCTGATGTTGTGAACATTGTAAGAAGGCTGGATATCATAGTCTGGTTGTTGCAGGTATATCAAAATACGGTGCGATCTTCTAGTTAGTCCAACATAGTAACAGTCTAACCAAATTAAAGATTCTATGGTTTTCCGTGTTCAGATGTTGCCATCACCATCTATATCATTACAACTAGAAAGTGATAGTGTAGGAAGTTGGACGCCCGGTTCCTTGTAGCGAACGTTACTGTTTCATACACGAGGATTGATGGCTGTGTCAAAAGCCAGTGGGCGAAATTGACTTGCGACGTTCGCTGCTAGAGGGCGAGATTGTCAGCTATCGAGATGCCTGCCTGTGGCGTTTCACGGAACCAGCAAGCGCCGACAATCACAGGCAGGTTATTATGGGGGAGTGAGCGATCGATGTGATGGCATAGGGCGGTCTGCTGTCGTCGCAATCGTCGTCTTGGTCCTGCAAGCACTGTGTTTCATCACGTTTCCCTGTAACAGTTTAGTACAGTACACACGATTGTCAGATCATTCGTCCAACGAGCAGCTTCGAGAGACGAGATATTTGGCGATAGGGTGGGAGGGAGGTCTCCGCTCCAGATCGTCGATCTGGCCGATCTGGATACCCGTTCGTCAGATCTGCTCTGCAAGTTTGTACGAGAAATTTGTGCTGTTGAATCCAGAGCAAACTACCTGAGTTCCCTGCTCTAAAGGGTTCATTCGGCGGAGGCTGTGCATGAGATTTTGAACCAGGTACACTTGTGTTCGTCCCACTTTCCCAACCCCCACTTTCCTTCCTCCCTTTTTGTACAGCCCCTCGCTCTGGGGACCCATCTCCATTACTTTGGCGTGTGAGTTGTTTCGAAAGGCTCATGATTCCTCGAATGAATGACTCCAGCACCATGGATTTCCAGTAAACAAGTTTACGTTTCCCGTCAAATTAGTTTGAAAGAAATAGATGTTTAGGTGAGGACATGATGCCTCTAAGCTAAAGCAGTCCACACATATATTGTTATGACTCTAGACTAGTAATCTATAGGCTATCAAAGAAAGTGTCTTCCTCCATGTGCGTTTCCTGGTAGTTCGGCTGGCCCCGAACCAGTTGCCACCCATCTGCCATCCTTTGCTTCCAGGCGATAAATTTCGTTTCGCGAACGATCATCCATCCGAGTCGACTGGCCCTCTCTCTCAACCCCGCCAAACTGCACGTCACATCCCAGCCTCGAGCTTGAAGTTACGACAAGTGACTCCACTGCCGTCACTGGGCTTGCCGCGACTCGTGCTGGTGACATGGGCCGTGACTTTCTCCCTCGAAATTTTCTTTTCTGCAGTAACATGACAATCTCGTCTTTCGATTGGCTGGAATCTGTACTGTCACAGCGTTTTGGCTTCCCGTAACTTCAGCAGTTTTCTCGAGTCAAATTTTGTTCGGTGCAATACGTTCCAACGGGGTGAAGAGCGTGCAATCGATCTATCCCACCAAGCTTCTGGTTTCTCCTCGTTTGACGATGCTGGTTTCAAATCGCGATACCACGTTTGCGTTTCATCGCAAGAGTTCTTGCGTACCTTTGTTTATCGTGTTTAACCGCACTGAAACTTACTGTACGATTAAGTGAACGAAACTCCTCCACATCCACCCCGAGAAAGCACAACATTCGAAATTCTCAATGCTAAAGCCATGGCTTCGGCCTGCACCCCAGCAAAGTTGCTTCTGCCGGATTTCTCCGCCAGATATCACACGACTAAAGGGCGTCGTCCTTAGCTCTGGCGTAATATAGATTGCCTGGCGGGATCCTACCCCTGGTTGATGGTTCAACTTCGCCTTTTCTCCGCCCTGACAGTCTGGTTTTCGGATTTGTTTTAGTGAATAACGCAAATCTCGCAAGATGTTAGACGATTTACCGTTACGTACAGTCAACGAACATCTTCCTAGAATTTTATCGGACCGATAGTAAGGTCTATTGTTCGGCTTTCGAAGCGAGTCGCTCGTATTTCTTTTTGGATCGTAGCTTTCCGAAGCGCGGCATCGCTTGATCTCGCGGCGAGTGCGCTTCGCGAACAGTCACATGCCGTCGTCATGATCGCATGTAGTACTTGCTCTGCGACAGCAGGCGACTCCGCAGCGAGCAACCGTCGAAAACATTCGCAGCCGTCGCACCCGGCGTCGCAACATCCATCGCAGCCGTCGCAGCTGCTGGCGGCGTCGCAACAACTCCATCATACCTCACATCACCCCTCGTGCAAAGCCCATCTACACTTGCCCAAAACTTCTTCGTTATTGCCACATCCGATACACTCGCAATCACCACCATCACCACCATCATCGTTACATCGCTCCCCTCTAACCGTCAACCAACGCTTGATCCTCCTCCTTCTCCTCCTCACCGGGTTCCTCCTCGGCTCCCTCTCCGGTCACGTACTCCTTTTAGACGGCATCGCTACGCTCTCAACGCTCTCCCGCCACCGCGGCGCAGCGGCGGCCCTGCTCACGGGTACATCCGCCGCCGCCGCGCGACGACAGCTCGACCGGCGGCGCCGCTCGCTTCCGCAGCCGCCGCCACCGCCGCCGGCTCCGTCATCGTCACCATCGTCTTCGTCGTCGTTATCTTCGCTAACGTCGCTACCGCCGCCTGCGAATGGTAACACCGTCGTCGTTCCTGTGGCTGGCGACATCGGCTCCTCATCGAGCACCGCCGGGAATCAGGGCGGCGGTGTACCTTCGCGCGAAGGGTTACAGAGTACGACGACGACGGCGACGTCGCTGAATGGGCAGAGCGAAAGCGACGGCGTCTCGCCGATGCATGGCAATTCCACGTCAGCGCCGTCTTCTTCCACGTCATCATCGTCAATATCCTCGTCGGCGTCGCCCGCAGCAACAGCGCCGGCGGCGGCGGTTCCCGCAAGACCGCCGGAATTAGATCCGGAGGCGCGCCATCGCATGGTGCGATCGCACGAGCTGCAGCGAGCGCTGGCGACGATGACGAAAGGTCGCAGCGTGTGTGCGACGATCGCGAACGTCGCATTCGAGGATATGCTTCTCAATTGGTGGGAGCACACGCGGCGGTGCGGGATACATAACGTGCTGGTCGGGGCGCTGGACGACTATACCGTGAACGTAGGTGTGCCTTTTAACGCGTATAGTTTCAGTATACTACACCCAGCGCTAGTAGTGCTCTCGTGTACTGCTCGCGTACGATCTCAGGACACGTCTGATTTTGTTTATGTGCACGTTACTAGGCGCGTCTAGATCTGGTGGGGTTTACTGGTTTGCGCTTCAATCGTGCTTCAATCGCGCTTCAATCGCGCTTCAATCGCGCTTCAATCGTGCTTCAATCGCGCTTCAATCGCGCTTCAATCGCGCTTCAATCGTGCTTCAATCGCGCTTCAATCGTGCTTCAATCGCGCTTCAATCGCGCTTCAATTGTCGCCCTCGTCTTTTATCCGCTGCACCTCTCTCTTCAAGCGTGCGCTTTTTTGTTACGACTCTTGGTTAGGTCTCGGTGACGTCCTCTCCCCTTGGCTTCGGCCCCCGCCCTACCCCTTTCGTCTACGTCTCTAATTTGACGTGTCTCGTTTACGTCACTATTTGGCGTATCTCGTGTACTTCTGCCTATCACGCCTCCCGTTCTCTTCTCTCATCTGCCTGTCTCGTCTGGGTGGGAAAAGGAGAGAAGCCGTTGACGGGATGTGCGGAGGGAGGGCAGTTGGGGGAAGGGGCGCGGAGTGTAGGGAAGGGGCGCGGCGAAAGGGCGCGGAGTGGATTGAAGGGGCGCGGAGTGGGGAGAAGGGGCGCGGTTTGGGGCGGAAGGGTCGCGGCGGAGTGGGGGTAAGGGACGCGGAGTGGGGGGGAAGGGGCGCGGAGGGGGGGAAAGGGGCGCGGAGTGGGGGGAAGGGGCGCGGAATGGGGGGAAGGGGCGCGGAGTGGGGGGATGGGGCGCGGAGTGGGGGGAAGGGTCGCGGAATGGGGGAGAGGGGGATGTATGTACTTGAGGGTTTGTGAGGCTTATCCTACCTTTCTGTAAACAGTATAACCTTGCTCCTCTCCCACATACATACCCCTCCCCTCTCCTCCCCTCTGCCTCCCTGCCCCTCTCCCACTTACCCTTCTCCCCTCCCCTCATCCTTCCTTCCCCCCGCCCCCCCCCCCCCTCTCCCCCTCCCACTAACCGCAGTTAACCCAACATCACCGCATCCCATCCATCCGCCTGCACGGGGTGCTCCCTCCAGGAAACTTCCGGAGCAACGCCACGGCTTTCCAGGGCATGGGCATGTTAAAGACGGCTTTAGTCTCGGCAGTCTTAGAAGCTGGGTGGGATGTGCTATTGAGTGACACTGACGTGGTATGGTTGAGGGATCCGCACACGTACTTTTACGAGAATGCTGACGTGGCGCATGCTGACGTGTTCGTCACGTCCGATTCGCTCTCGCACAGCAATGATGTGGCGAGGTACGGTGCGGTTTTGTGTGCGTGCAACTTGACATATGCTGATTGGTATTATTATGAGTGTCACTAATAAATGTCACTGAATCTCGGTGTGCCATTCTTAAGTAATGTCACCATGCTAGCATTGCAATGCTACTCCCCACGCTCTGTGCTCCATGCACCCTTTTTGTGCCCTCTCCGAGCTTATACCTCCCCTACCTCCCCTCCTCTTACACCCCTCGCCCCCCTCTCCTGCCCTCTCCACCCCTCTCCCGCTTATTCCTCGCTTCCCCTCTCACCTTCCCCCATCACCTCGCCCTCTTTCCCTTCCTTCTGAACTCCTGTCTCCCACCCCCCTCCCCCCTCTGCAGCCGACAGCGCAACCCCAGTGCGTACGGTCGGGGTGACTTTTGAGT